GGTGTTAATTAAGGCTGTCTCAATTACAGGTAACACAACCATACTCAAACTAGTTTAATCAAAAATGGGCACTTACCATATAACTGGGAAAGATAATAGATTGGTGCAGTTGGATTCGGGTGCTCGAACAGTGTTCTCAGAGTCCTGGCTCTGCCTTTTGTATTGTTGCCTCTCTTTGTGTATTTATTTCATTCCAAGATAGATCTTCAAGGAGATAAATTTATGAGTTCCACAGACCCATAGATTGGGATTTAAAAAAAAAAGACGAACCCTTTTCTTCTCCAAATGTACATGTATATATGGCAGTACAGGGTACCATGATTGGCTTAGTCTGAGCCATATACCAGCCCCATAGAAATAGTTGTATCCCTTAGGATTATGTTTTCTGTGTGTACCAGACATTCAAAATAACAGTAGCTTAAAGTAGAAGTTTATTTCTCTAACACAGATAAGCAGCCCAAGACTGGTGTGGCAGCCTGGCTCAATGCAGTTCTCAGAAATTCAGATACTTTCAGTTTTTTATAATCTGCTTTTCCCAAGGTCAACATATGGCCCCATTTGGCAGCTCTCACTCTGGCCATTACATCTCCTTTATCAGTCATTAGGATGGAGGAAGGGACTATAGGTGTGCACCAAAATTCCTTTAGGAAAGGTTCCCAGAAGCTCACATGCAACATTCCTGCTTCCATTCCATTGGCCGGAATTTGGCCACACTACCTCACTGTATCAGTACATTTTCACACGGCTATAAAGAACCACCTGAGACTGGGTAATTTATAAAGGAAAAAAGGTGTAACTGACTTACAGTTCTGCAAGGCTTGGGAAGCCTCAGGAAACTTACAATCACAATAAAAGGCAACGGGGAAGCAAGGCACGTCTTACATGGCAGCAAGAGAAAGTGAGAGAGCAAGGAAGTGTGCCACACTTTAAAACCATCACTTCTCATGAGAACTCACTTACTATCACAAGAACAGCATGGCAGAAACCACCTCCATGATCCAATAACTTCTCACCAGGTCCTTCCCTCCACACATGGAGATTACAATTCAAGATGAGACTTGGGTGGGGACACAGAGACAAACCATATCACCCATCTACCTGCAAAAAGCAGGAGAATGTAAACTAGGCTCTGAGTAGCCATTTGACCAGCTGGAGTTTGGGGATTCTGTTACCGAATGGATGTTGGTGACCCTTTTTGTTCGGGGATGGTCATCTGAACATCTCCACTGACTCCTGGTCTCTTCTCATACGTTTCTGATGACCCCATTTTTCTGTTCTTTTATTCTCTTGACCAGATAGGATCTTTAAATGTTTTTAATAATTTTCATTGAGCTGGTGAGCTACACATGGGTCATTTTGTCCTAAATTTGTCTTGGTCCTAAGTGACACTGTGACCCAGATGAGGCCATGTCTCAATCTATTCTGGGATTCTAGGACTAGTCCTTGGCAAAATTGTAGAAGGCAAAGAGAGATGGGTCTTGTTTTTACTCCGAAATCACAATTAGCTGCAACTCTTACACACACACACACACACACACACACACACACACACACACACCCTGTTGGGCTGCTTACCCATATCAAATCTTTCACATCATATTTTTTCACATTAGTACTCATTAGAGATCACTGGCACCTGACTCCATTATCTCCCATCCCCCATTCCCTAGAGTTTTCAAGAGTTTGCTAAATGATACTCACAGCTACAGGATAACTGCACATCATTTGAAACTATTCTTTGCTTAGAGATTTTTGAAAAACACATTTATATTAAAACCAACACAAGAAAGATGTTTTAGCCATATTTACAAAGACATAGAAATTTGAGTAGTGACTAATCATCCATAAAACTGATATCCCTAATAAGGAAAAACAACTAAAATAGACTTTTTCATAGTGTTAGATATATATTAGCCTATATTTGATAGCACCTTCCAAACCTCTGATCTTATTAAGACTTTCTGTAGTCAAACAAGATTATTAGATTCTGCTATTAAGTGGCTCTGCAACTTGCCTAAGGCACTTAACCTCTCTAGAGCTGTCTCAGTTTACCAAAATGTAAGAGGTGGATTTCAGAATCTCTAAAATTTCTTTAAGCCATAAGACAGATGATATAATTCATGAGAAAGAAGGAGCTCAAGAAGGGAAGGTGTGAGGTCATCTGTAATTTGCTTGTAAATGCTTCCATATGGGTATCACACTGTATACAGCCTTCAGGGGGACTATAACCCACACCCTGAGGGAGGGAGGGTAAATAGTATGCAAAGTACTCTAAAAAGGAATACACACTCCAATAGCAGTTACTTAGTATCTGAAAGATACTAATCAAAAGTCTCTACAGGAGAAATATCTGTTGCAAAACTTCAAAACTTTATGTATTTCTATAGCAAGCTACAACAAAGGATTTGTTACTTGTATAAAGGTTGCTAGAAGTAATTTTTGCATTGGTTAAACAGAATTATCAAGATAGCTGTAGGTACAATATTCTGGCAGGCACAGTGAGCTAACTTTTGGGGTAGAACCTTAGACTAGAACTCTATTTGGTCCCAGGTTTCCCTCACTTAATACAAGTTTTCATGGGCTGATCTAACTAGACAAGTGATTCCCAATCAGTGATGATTTTGTCCCTCAGGGGGACATTTGTCAATGTCCAAGAGATTTGGGGTTGTCACTACTGGGGAAGTGTGCTATGAGCATACAGTGAGTAGAGGCCAGGGATGCCGCTAAACATATTGCAATGCACAGAGCAGCCCTTAAAGAAAAGAATACCCAGCTCAAAATATCACCAGGGCTGAGGTTCAGAAACCCCGGGGTAGATAAGTGACTGATCCTGGCCTTCAGATTATTTGACTGCCCGTGTCTAGAATGAACCTTTAATCCAAGAGGCTTGGTGGAGCACTTAAAAGGACAGAGTAGAGACTTCACCACACATACAAAACAGGTTGGATGGCTATTCGGGGACTTGATGGTTAACAAATACGAATGTGTAGCAGAATTTAGTTTGAATCTTAATTCATTTTAACATCATCAGAGAGAGGGTTATAATTTCTACCCACTTCTAATTATCAGAGGCTGCAGGTATTATTGAAAGAACCTGGCATTTGTGAATGGCCAGATTGGCTCAGGTCAGTTTACAGAAGGAGAGGAAACAGGTGGGGATATGTTAGGGAGAGGGTGGAGGAAGCATGAGACATTTTCAGAATTTTGAGCCGCTGTGACTTATTCTTACTATGTAAGGTTAAAGAAGTCAGACACCCAGATGCAGGGAGGATTTCCCATATTTTTCATGTTGTTCATCTAAATCCCGAATTCCACACTGCCTAGACATGATGAAATGCTTATTTCTCTGTCTACTCCCCATCCTACATGCCGACTCTGCCATCGCCACGTCAACACCTTAAAAGAATAAAGTATTTGCTAGTCCTCCTGGAATGATTGAGGTCTTTGGGCTCCAAGAAAAGCTGAATACCATGTCAGATCTATAGTGAGTCAGATCATTAATCAATCAACAGAGGTGACCATTAATCACCAAGAGGGATGAACATAGATAGTAGGCATCGTGCTGGATGAGAATCTAGAGAGAAATAACTATCAAAATGCTTTACTCTCATTCTGGTACCCCCTTATTATTATTTTGACCTAGCAGTTTTAATCTGCAGTGCTAGATAAAAATACTGGGTTGTCTTTGAAATCTGAGCTGCTGCTTCCTCCAGAGAGAAACTCACATATTTAAGAAATGTTGTCCTTGGTTTGGGATGGAGCCTTTCCTGCTGAGATGGACCAGAGCATACTCCTTTTAATAAAAACAAAAGGTAAATAACAGTAGCAGCAGCAATAAAGCCTAAAGTTCACTTCTGAGGTCAGACACAGGCCTAACTGTAAGGTTAGTGGAGGGTTTGCAGAACTGTGAAGCACAGAGAAAAACAAAGCTGGAATCCATTTCCAATGTGGTCTTGGACATAATATAACTCGGCTAGTGATAGGATAGCTTCCTATCTAGTCTGAACATTGAATAGTAATATTGTCATGAATATTAAACTCTAAGGTAGGTTCACATTCATTTTCCCACTGTATTACTCTGCTACACTGTAGATGGTAAAGTCGTGTGGAAGGAGATAGCTATTATTTCCATTTGACAAGTTAATAAACTAAGACCAGGAGCTTAAATGATTTCTTACTAAAATTACCCAGCTAGCTGGTCGGGCAATCCAAGCCTGCAGCCAGGATGCTTGCTTGGCTTCCAGACCTGTTTTCTATCCACTAGAGCAGTGGTTCACAAGGGGTGTCTGTGAGGTGGGGGTTGTGGGGGAGTCAGTAGCAGTAGCAGCTTGGCTGGGAACTTATTAGATCCTGAGACATTCTTAGATCTTGTTTGATCCTTGCACATTTAAGAATGCACATTCTTAGATCCCACCCTAGATCTACTGACCTGGAAACTCTTGGGGTGGGGCCCTGCTTTGTTTTAATCAGCCATCCCTGGGATATGGTGCACCTCAAGTTTGAGGGTTATTGCCCTCTAGGGTGCTGTTTTCACCTGCTACAAACGGTTCTCATACTTTTACATTAAAGAAACTCTTCTACTCTCATTTTGTTTCCAGTGAATTTTAACTCTACAAAATTGTCATAAAGCCTCTACTTAGGAAACCTGATAACTTAAAGGACCATTCAGAATCCTTAAAATCTTTTCTTTTATTAAACTTCCAGAGCTGGCTTTTTGCTGATTGGGTATAGAAACTTAGTTGTTTTTGTTTTTCACTTGATCTATCTTGGAATTTCCTTGCCCCAGCTAGATTTTATCTCCTTAGGAACTATGAAAAGAAAGCGTATCAAAGATACTTCTTTAAAGTTCTCTGATACCTTCAGTTTGTTAATATGATAATGTACATAAATAGCATATAAAATATACTATTAAACTTAAAAGATCTGGGAAAGCTTTTGAACACCCCCACCCTTCAACACACACATGCACACCCATGCTTACACACAATACCAGATACAAAGAAGGTGCTAACTCAGTATTTATTAAATTTATTAAAGGCCTTCTCTTAGAATCACAGAGGAAAGCAAATGCTGTGAAGCATGGCTGCCTAGAAGAAACTTTATTTGAAATCTTTAACAAGATATTAAAAGAATAATGACACTACTGTGTCTAATGAAAAATGAGTGTTTGATTCTAACATATGAATTTCATTATACATATTTGATCTGAAATAGAAATGAAATTTTCTATATCTTATTCATTCTTTCATTGTTTTACTCATTAAATCTTTGTTGAGTGCCCACAATGTGCCAGCCATGTGTCTAGGCACTTGGGCTAGCATGGTCAATGAAGATGACATGTGCCTGCCCACATGGAGCTTACAGTCTATAGGAAAGACAGTCAATCAAACAAGTGATTTACAATGAAGTGTGATGAGTGTTGTCACAGGACACACTAGATACATTAAGAGCACATAGCAGGATAACAGAATTATGTGGGGCATAAACATGACAAGGGTTACACATGGGGCTGGGGGCCTTAGTCCTTGGAGGTCCTAACCAAAGCAAGGCTGATGTTAAAAAAAGCTGCCTTGAACTGCACTGACTATGGGAAAGGAGGCCCTGTATGGAGGCGGTACTTCTGCAGTCTGGCCAATGCCAGCAGGCAGGTCACTTCCTTGTCCTTTGGGAAAGGATGGTGATGATGGAGAAGATCAAGAAGATCACACCAGCCGTGCCTCCAATTGCCAGGCCCAGGATGCTGCTGTGCACCTTCATGGCCTGACAGTGTTCCCCCGTGTAGAAGAAAGCGTGTCCAGAGATGCACCTGAGAGAAAAGGATGTGAAAGGAGTGTGGGAACTACCCAGGCCTCAGGTTCCTCCTAGCAACCTGCATCACCACAGCAACAAAAATAGCAAATGCTCACTGAGCAGGTCTCCCTGGTGCCTGGTTTCATTTCAAATGCTGTATATGAATCAACTTATTTAACCCTGCAACAACCCTTCGAGGTGGAGGTCATTACTTGGACATTCTCATCATCTTCATCTTACAGGAAAGTTACAAAACTTGCTCAAGTTCACATTGTTAGTAAGCATTTCACACTTGAAATTTAATCCCAAGAGGTATGTCTCCAGATCCAGGATTCTCAGCCACCAAGGATTCAGGAGGAAGGTTTGAGACACTAAAGGAATACATTGCTTGACACTGGCTGAGAATGTAAGCTACAAAGGAGATTCCTGAGCTACAGTCTGACTTAGAGCATCAGTTATAGTTTGAAAACTTCTAGGTAATATCAAATAAAATGTTACTATAAGGTTATTGTACTGTCACTATCAGGAGGCTGCCCTGAAGTTCACATGAAATAATAGGGACATGGCACTTATCAAGGTATTTGACATATAAGGGCCAGCCCTTAGTTTTGTTCCTTAATGTTATCTAGTATAAAGATCAGCTGACAATCTTAGAACCAAAGCATATAAACGGCAGTGTCTCATCATACCTTTATAACAATTCCAGCCTTTGTTTCAAACATTCCTACTAGAAAGCCTACTCAGCAGAATTCTACAGGGCAGAGTGAAACAATCAGAAGTCAGCATCTTCTGGCCAGGTGCGGTGGCACATGCCTGTAATCCCAGCACTTTGGGAGGCCAAGGCAGGTGGATCACCTAAGGTCAGGAGTTCGAGACCAGCTTGGCCAACATGGCAAAAGTATCAAAAAAAATTAGCCAGGCATGGTGGCGGGTACCTGTAACCCCACCAACTCCAGAGGCTGAGGCAGGAGCATCGCCTGAACCTGGGAGGTGGAGGTTGCAGTGAGCCAAGATGGTGCCATTGCACTTCAGCCTGGGCAACAAGAGTGAAACTCCATCCCACACCAAGAAAAGGAAAAAGAAGTCAGTATTTTCTTTTACTAATCCTGAATGATTTTACCTTCCAAGGCCTCCTCTCCATCCTGGGAATTGACTTCTTAGAAATCAGTGAGTAATAGCAAGTTTATTCCATTTTTTTTCTGACCCAGTTCCCTCCAAACACAAGTTAGTGATATCCCCTAGTGTTACCTTAGAAAAACTTATTCTGCCAACTCTAAGCTGCAGGTTTCTAGGAGAGGAATAGTTTGGCCAAGTAGGGGCTGACATATAAGTGGCAACCCTGGCCTTCCTTAGCCTGAGAAGGATGATGCGCGTTAGGGGTACATATTGGAATCTGGCATCCAAGGGCCTGTCAGGCAAAGACATGCAGACCCATGGCTTTGGAGGCCATAAACAGGTGAGCCTTCCCTAATAAAAGGAACCAGAGGGCTTCCTGGAAGAGTGATTGATTCTATGGGTGGGGCAGGGAAAATAAAAGATGAGCCTAGAGTTTGCTATTGTGTTAGAAAGTCACGATGTGCTCATAAGGTCTGGTGTTGAAAAAGCACAGGAGTCAACCTGGAAGGGCTCCCAGAGGCCAAAGCTGGGACAACAGAAGCAACAGAATGAATAATGAAATTATTGTAACAGAGCCCACTGAAGAAAATACATGTTTATGATTCCTTAGTGATAGAAATAAATAATTGCATAAACAAATTAACGGGGTGAAGGGGCTATAATTCTTTACAGAACAATTCAAATGAATGAATGTGAAGGAAATAGGAAATTAACATTAGAAGATCCCAGTGGTGAGTATTGCAGGTAGGATGTGTCAATAGATGCTGAAATTAGTGTGAGAATTTGAGGAAAAGCAGGATGTCTCCATGATCTTGAAATATCTCTCCCAAGATATATATTAATTACAGAGGGAGAAATGGTAACTCTTCAGTGGTGAGGCCGGCAGATGTACTGCTGGCCAGACGATGAAGGTTTACATCACCAGTAATGACACGTATTGGCATCATGTACCTGCTCACATGATGCAGTGAGAAGGCATATCACATATTTACTAATCTGTAACCTTGATCTAATCACGAGAGAACAAGATAAACCCAAATTAATGAAAAATTTACCCCCAAAAAATCCCTGACCAGTAATCTTCAAAAGTGTCAAGGTAATGAAAGACAAGAAAGAACTGAGGAATTGTCCCAGATTGGAGGGGATTAGGACACAGAAGACACAAAAGCTAAATATAACGTGAGGTCCTGAACTGGATCCTAAAACAAAAAAGGACATTAGTGGGAAAACTGGGAAAAGGTGAATAAGGCCTGTAATTTACGCACTAGCATTGTGCCAATGTTCATTTCTTAGCTACACTAATTCTACTGTGTAATACGCTAACATTAGGGAAAGCTGAGTGGGTGAATGGTATAGAGAAAGTCTCTGTAGTATTTTTGCACCTGTAAGTCTAAAGTTATTTCAAAATAAAAGCTACAAAAAGAAAATAAAGTGGAAACTGAAAAGAACTAAGAACAAATATAAATTTTTGAGATTAGCAGAATCGTTCCTACATCTGCTACTGTTCAAATGGAACTGTTGCTTCTATCATCACCTACATCTTTTTATGAAGCAGTTTTTAGGGTTTTATACAAGCAAACATTATAAAAAGAACTATTAAATATAGCAAACTATGCTGCCAGACAGATGTAGATGCAAGCCCTAGCTTCAGTATTTTCCATCTGGGTACATTTTAGATAAATCACTTAATCTTCCTAAGCTTCAATTTCTTGATACACTAAATGGGGCCAAGGAGAGCCCTTACGTCACAGGTGGCAGTGAGAGTGAATTTAGATAATGCATGTAAGATGCTCAGGATGCATAGCAAGGGGTCAGAAATATCAGTTCTTATTACTATTATTGAAAATATAACTGTAATAATAGCACAGTGTAAATGACAGAGTATAGAATAATAATCTTTAGCAACATCTATAGTCAGTAAATATTTAACCTTCGTCCTGAGACCCACTGTTATGGAGTAGAAAGTCCGTAGGCTAAAAGCCATCTTGGATGTTATAGAAATTCCAGGAGTATCCAAGATGCTGTTGACAATGCCCCAAAGGAGGAAAAGGGATGAAAATCAAGAGACAAGGAGACCTGGGATGCCTCTGTCCTGGCAGCATAAGCCCATGAATCCAGGGCACACCTTCGTAGAGTCAAGGAAAACTGCACCCAGTTGACCATTTTAGGTAGCTTTTATCCTGCTCTGAAAACAGCACCCTTTACCAGGGGTAAGCATGTACACCACCCAGGTCGCTGGCTTGCCTGTCTCCCCAGCCACAGAACCTACCTGCAGCTCGCCATCCCCTTCTCATTCACACAGATGCCGTCATTTTGGCAAGGGTTTGGATCACATGGGTCTCTGAAGTACTGTGGCCAGTCGTGGTCCTCCAGGGGGCCCATGTTTTCCACAGACCGCTTCTGTCGGCTGGGCTGCCCCTGGCTCAGGCTGACAGGTAGGGCTTCTTCTATCACGGCCTTTCCCGAACCTTCTTTGGAGAACTGCTGTTCCTGGCCTTGGAGAATGAGGCCTTGGGGGCTCAGCCTTTTGCCTTTAATGGGAACTTCAGTCTGCTCGAGGTGGGTGATATCTATAGGAAATAGAGAGTCATAAGGAAGATCCAGGATTAGTAACTGACTACAGTTAACTCCCACTTCTGGTGAAAGTTCCCCAGCCTGCTTCTATCTCCTGTGGGCATCACCCTTAGTGACATAGAAAAGTGGCTTTTTTAAAATTTTAATATAATCAAGTCATATTTTTATTTATTGAATTTGCAGAATGCTGTGTAAAGTTAGCACGGACAGACTGATGGAAACGAAACTGAAATCAGTGAACTGTTACCTTTGATAAAATTATCAAAAAGATGACACTAAAATTTCAGTTTCTTTCAAGGACAGTTAAAAAAGATGTGAGTCCTTGGCCAGTTGAATAAAAGGAATTTTTTTTACAACACATTTTTGTGACCTCATCCCCACCCTCCATGAGTGCTTTGAAATCAGGATAAAATCAGTACAGCACCAAGAGCATAGGATTATTTACTCACGAAGACCAACAAAAGTACCTTCAAAGTCCACAAACATGATGAGGTCATCATTTTTCAGGAAACTCCTCCTTTTTAGCATTTGGTGTGAGATGAAACCACTCCAGCCCCAGGGGATGCTTCTAAAGCAATTACAGTCGGTATGATAGGTTCCCACCTTGGACGGCCTGTCCCAGATGACAGTGTCATTTATCGCTGCAAAGTTGTAGGTAACATAAAATCACATTATCTCTTTATATTTCACTTTCCAGTTTGTCTTTAATGAGGATATAGAGCTTTGTTCATCAGAAAAAAAAAAGTGTTGGAAAAAAATTAGGCTATTTTCTCTTTCCAGGAGAATTGCAATTCAGATTTGAAAGATGGGAGAGGCAGAGAATCACAGCTCTCAGTGATCAGTTGTCTGCTACTGAGTGACTTCCTTAATGAAGAAAGAGGGACAGCTATGGCTTCTTTCTTCTGAGGCCTAAGTTTTCTCTTTTGTAAAGAAAAAAACAGTTTGCTCATTTCTTTACTGATGTAAGTTTATTTCATGGACATAGTGGCATTCAGTACTATTTTAGGAGTAAGTACATTAGCTCTGCACAGAGCCTAGCAAGTTCCAGGTATCTGATGAATGATTAGCAGTATCTGCCTCCTCAATCACAATGAGCTCAGTGAGGCAGGGACCAGCTGATTCACTTGTATTCTAAGTACCTAGCACAGAATTTGGCACATGGTAAGCCCTGAATAGATGTTTGATGAGTGAATTTAGGAAAGGGAAGGAGGATATGATGGCATTGAACATCTTAACTTGGAACTCCAACACGACTATGTTAATGATATTCCCAAGGGGACCATGTGAGGGGAACGTTACTCTCTCTTGGACCACAGAATCACATCTGTGGGCCTTTCTGGGTTGGGGGCAGTTCTTATTTATGCTGACACCACCCACCTGGAGATGTGTGCAGCTTGGAGGTAGTGAACACCATGCTTGAGGACATCCTATTCCTGACGTCGGGCTCCTGGTCGAGGATGGTCATTATCACCTGTCTGTTTTCTACCGGCCACTCCAGGATAGCATCATTCTCCCCACTGCACAGGTGAAAAGAAAGCCCCAAGTAGCCAGAGCTGTCAGAGCTTGCTCTGCCATGGGGGTATAAAGTTAACCCAAAACCATATCCCTCTGAATTGTAGAATCGAGGGCTCTGCAGGTTGTCTCCTAGGCTGGTGTTCTCAAGAACTTGGGAGAAATTCCGGACTGTCCAGACCCCTGTGGGGCAGGGGGTTTCAGTCAGAGTGATGTCATCCAGGTAAATTCCCCCAGTTGAGTTCTGAGGGTCGCCTTTTGTGCCCTGGAAAAGGTAGCGAAACTTCCGTTCTTCTTTGAGCACCACATGGGCAATTTTCCAATTATGGTCATCATCTCCTGAGGACAGAGAATAATGTTGGTGAGAATTGTGGCCAACACATAATGAGTACTTATTATGAGTTTGGCACAGTGCCGTGTGCTTCCCATAAATGATCTCATTAAATCCTCACAACAGCCCTATAAAATAGGTACTATTGTAAACCAGTTAAGTAACTTTTTCAGAGTTACATATCTAATAAAGAAAAATAGTTTTATAAAATACTATTATTTATTTAAAATTCATATTCAAATCTTAACCATGAATTTGTTTTCCACTATCAGTATAATTCTACAGGTACTGCATTTCCTCCTCAGTTTTCTCGTTCAACTGCAACCCCTAATGTTAGCACCGAAAGCCCAAGTGTTAGGCTGAATCATATAAAATAGCCATTTTGTAAGCCAAATGTCAGAAAATAGTAACTCCATATGGTCCAACCTGTGACTCGTTGCCAGAGAGCCAGAAGGAATGCTGAAGAGCAGATAATAACCTGTAGGACAAACTGGATCTTCCCTACCTGAAACTGACTCCCTCTCCGACATCTAGACATTTTCCACTCCTTATATTATCTGAAAGTCCAACATGTAGGGGAGCTAAGTAATCCAAAGAGAGTAATTCACATTCTAATAAGGATTAGGTCTACTTGCTTTTTCTCTGAGCATGAGCTAAAAGTGGGACTTTTGAATTAAGGGCTGAGGAAAGATGCTGAGGAAAGATGCTGAGAAAGTTGCTCTAGAACATGGGATCCTGGGCTGAACAGCATAAAAAGCCAGACAGGAGCTTGGGGGTACTGGAGAGAGGAAACTGCGAAAGCTGATCAATTCAGAATTCCCTCCAAGAGATGCCTCTACACTGATATTTTGCACAGGATATTCCCTAGGGTTGGGCTTGAAGAGGAGAGGAAAAATGCTTCCAAGTGGAAGTCATGTTGGCTAAACTGAGTTCCTACAGATGAGTGTCTTTTTTCCTTTTTCTGTGTCCTTTAACCAGAAATCTACTTACAGAACTATACTTTCCTTGAAATGGAAAACACTTTTCATCTCCATTTGTTTTCAGGCCATTCTCTCTAAGGACAACTTCAAGGGACAAGTCTAACAATGTTCTGTTTCCTAGGGTGGAGCTGATTATGGCCTGTGTGGCTAGGTTACACGGGAACACAGGAGAGAGGTGGAGAAGGCACATGGCTACCTCTGTAACCTACAAATCTAAGTAGCTGCCATCTCCGGGGGAGAGCACTGCAGCCAAGTGAAAGACACATGGACTTGAAGGGTAATAGGTGCCAGAAAGTCTAGGAATAAGAACAGATATACAGAATTTGAACTATTTATCAAGCAGGGTTACAGATGATGGGAATTCTGTCAAGAAAATAGGATTCTGTTCTTGCTAATGAGTACCTGCTTTGTTTTTTCTTAATATAGGATGCCAAAGTGAGGTTGAGATGTGGGAATTTGGTACTGGAAAGAAGACCCAAGAGGCTATACTATATATTCAGAGATTCATCTATGAAATTATTAAGCAAGTTTTGTTTACATGCTTCCACAAGGCTGCCCTAAATTAGTCAAGCAATAATGCTACTAAGATTGTTTGAGACAAATTTAATTCCTGTTAGTTCAGAATTGTCATCTATAGGGAAGTCCTGGCCTCAGTAAAAACGTGTGTGTGTGCATGTGCATATACATACACATAGTTGTATGCAAACATTTTTCATGTAAGTTTGTATATAAACATTATGTATGTATATAACATATATACAGATGTGCATATGGACACATTTTGTATGTAAGTGTTTTGGTCAAAATACACATTTTGCAAAAGTTAAAAACTATTCAAATTGGTTGCAATTATCTTAAGTTGAATGTCACATAAATAACACTAAATGATATTCAATTAACCTTTTTGAAAAACTTCATTATCAAAAGAGTATCAGAATTGACTTCTTTAAAAATCCATTCATACCGTGCTACCAGGGAATTTACACAGACATACTCTGAATTCAGTGAAACACAAAGCACAGCAGTGTAAAAAACTAAATTAAGCATGGGATGTTTGCTTTGTTGATTTTATGCTTAGAAGGATAACACTTTTAGCTTTAGACAAAAGTGAGTGATAATAGGTCCCATCAATATTATTGAAACTCTAACTCATTTTCTTATTAAATATTTACAATCCTTGGTAACATAACACATCCTCAAGTCTTAAAGGGCATCTAGCTGTCATCCTTTCATCATATAAACTGTGATAAATTTCAGTCCAAAAAGTGAACCCCTCAGAACTGTTATTTGTAGAGCTTCCAGTCAGTCCACAAAGTGGCTTGGATATAGGCAATTTGGGCACCTGTTCTTGCAAATGACCTCTAAGGAAGCTTTCTTCTTGAAAAGCAGCAGGTATATAAAAAATAATTCCTTTCTCTGGACTCATTCCAACTGAGAAATTAAACGCTAAGATAGGCAGGCGGATGCTAGGATAATCTGGCTATAAATCAAGATCTAGGGTTATAAACAAAGTATTTGTTTTCCTTTGTTGTGGTGGTGGTTCATTCGTAACTAGAAAAAGGGAGACAAGCTTCCCTACTTTTCAACAAAAAATTTCTCTATCTATAATCATTTACATGCGGGGCTTCTTATATAAATATAAAAAGTGACACTTAGGAACACATAAGTGTTATAGAAAGATAATAAATACAAATGACTTATTTCCCACCAGCTTCACAAGCAGGGTTCAAATTACTTTAGCATGTTAAATAATGGCATCACTTGGTTTTCTGAAACAGATGCAAAACCCCGTTGTCAACTATTTTTTTTCTTTTGAGACAGAGTCTTATTCTGTCACCAGGCTGGAGTACAGTAGTGCAATCTTGGCTCACTGCAACCTCCGCCTCCTAAGTTCAAGTGATTCTCCTGTCTCAGCCTCCCAAATAACTGGGACTACATGTGCATGCCACCATACCCAGGTAATTTTTGGATTTTTAATAGAGATGGGGTTTCACTATGTTGACCAGGATGATCTTGAACTCCTGACCTCGCGATCTGCCCCTCCTCGGCCTCCCAAAGTGTTGGGATTACAGGTGTGAGCTGGTCAACTATTTAACTACTCTCTCTCCAGCAGCATCAGTTCCCACATGTCTTTTACCTTCTGATCTTCACTCCTCAATCACCCATTTTCTCAGCCTTAACCTTTGCTTTCTTTAAAATTCTAGTGAAGACTGGATTTCTATATTCTGATTGGCTTCTTACAAAAGTATATTTCAGCCCTACCTAAACCCAAGATATGCTTCTAATTTCTGCGTAGTTAAAACATGCCATATATTATGTTACGCTCTGAGAAGAGAAGGAAGTGGGTGGAGGAAAAGGAGGAAGAGAGAAAGAAGGAGGAGTAGGAGCCAAGAGGGAAGGAGGAGAAGAAGCAGGATCCCAGGTTTTAAGCCACACCATTCCTTGTGTGAATATCTCTAAGTACCTTGAAAAGTCTGCACCTTGACCAGCTTGCGAACGTTGCCTGTGCTGTCATCCCTTCTGACCCAGACAATGAGTCTGTCTGAAGGGCTTCCTGTCATTTTATAGAAAAATTGCAGACATTGCTGCTTCCTCTTTGGGTAAAGAATCCGAGACTCCAGTAGGGCTGCCTCTTCTGCTGACCCCGAGCTGGTGCTGAACTGCATGAAGTAGCCGGCACCTATGGAGAGAGCACCCAAACATCACATCTTTGACTTCCCACATCCCAGGGTGTGGGAAATAGTGAAATAGTAAACCACAGCCATTGTCCAGGCAACAAAAGCTAGAACTTTTCTGAGGAAAGTAAAAAGAAGGGCATTCATCAACAAATATTGTGTCTCAATGGACGTAGTCACCGGTAAAGCTTGCTCTTCACAGTTTGATAGCCTTTGTTCCAAGATTGTGAAATGTATACCTCTGACTTAAAGAAACACAGGCTTCAAGCAACGTTTGATTGTTTGATGGAATTTGGTGTCTGTGAGATGAATTCTATTTTCTTCATTGACTTCATTCTTTAAATTAGAGATTCAACCCAAGGAAAAGAGTTGGGATGGTTTCCTCATTGTATAAGACACCGTGGAATTCAAAGGCTTAGGATTTGGTTTTAAACATTGACAATGATAAGGGTTCAGTTTCCCCTGTTGCTAGTCTGATAACTGGGTGTATTATCGGCGGCAAAAATAATCTTTACTATATTATCAGAAGGGCTATTCAGGACACATTAGAGACTAAATGGGAATTTCTCCTAAATGTAAAGGAAGGCATTAGAAGAACGCTGAAGAGGGTGAAAAGTGTCTACATTAGTGCCAGAGATGGGATTTACCTGACTCAGATATCTCAAAACTCTTTCCCCTAAAAACAACTAAGCCAGCTAAACAAATGTACCATTTGGTAAACCACATGTTTGTCCAAGTTGAGCACAATGAAAAACTCTTGCACATAAAGAGGTTCTTTAAATGGTGTTCCAGCAGTCAACCCCATGTAAAGATACTTCATTCAAAACATTTCACAAGATAAAAATAAAATGAGTGTACAGTATAGTGCTGGGCACTGCAGCAATGCTCCATAATGCTCCCAGCTTCATCCTGCCTCAACTGAGGCACTTGCCTTTCATATCAGCAGCAAGCAATGATGCTTTAAATAAGCTTCCCACCAAGCTTAAAATATCACAATGGCTTTAATGCTAAATCAGGGCAAATTATATTCCCTTGTGTTTTCTTCTCAATATCTGAACTTGCCTGAAACCTCTGAATTATAATTACGTATTGAATATCTGGGTTAGGAAAAAAAAAAAAGAGCACACAAGGCTAAAAATGTTTCTAGGTAATCCTTCCTTAGGAATTCCTGCTTAGGTGCACTAGGAAGTATGAATTGAGAGTCAAAAAATTCAAGCCCAGAACTCAGGAGGCCTGAATTATCCCCAGCTCTGCCAATACCTAGATGTTTATTCATTTCTCTGAGTTTTGAATGAGAGGAATCCTCCCAAGGGATCCTTTGAGCTCTTCATGTCTACGCATCCACCTGAATTATGGGAGAGCTCTCTACCAGCAAGACGTATTCCATTAAATGACTCCTGTGGAAGAAACATAATGCTTCTCAAGTTAATATGACACAGCTTTTCCAGATCTTTCTTCTGGGGTATGGTCCTTTCCTCTTACTAGGTGCTAGAACAGTCTTTCAGCAGATTCCTCTCACAATAAAGATCACCTTTGTGTTTAGCTGGTCATTGCACATTAACCTAGCAGCAAGCCACAGAATAGGTTGGATTAGAAGCTACAATGGAAATTTAGAGAAAACTTCAGGCTTGGTTCAACCTTTGGACACTTGGAATGATATGTTTGATAATCTGATATGTGACAGAAACTTTTACCCTCTGCCAAAGGTAGAGGAAAAGTGTCAGTGGCTTATCACCTCTGACATTCCCTGTGGTGGCATGGTATCTGGTTGACAGGCTGTGACCCTTCTGGGAAGGGAATCTCACCAACTCTCAGACAGTTATGTACTAAATGACTTTGCAATAGTTTAGTCCTTATAAAGCTGTAATAATCTGTAACTTCACCAGCTTCCAAATATAGTTAAGATGATTCAATGGTGGGCACAGAATACAAGAATGCTAAAAGAGAAAAACAAAATAAATGGAACGTCTGGAGAGAAAGGAAAATGGGAAAATGGAGGGTGAAGCTGCTGGTCTGCAGGTGGGGGCTTTGTATGCATTATTCTTCCATTGTCACTGTAAAGTAGGCATCAGTATCTTGATATTTACAGAGGTTTGTGAAAGCCAAGACTTTTTTAAAAAGCACACAAATGACAACAGCTTTCTGTGGTCACCTGAGTAAGTGGTGAAGCCATATTTCAAAACAGGCCTGTCTTTTTCACTACAAAAATGGTATATAGGAACTATCTGAAGCTGTGCTATCCAATACCAAACCTATATGGCTACTGAACGCTTGAATTGTGGCCAGTGCAAACTGAGAGGTACTGTAGGAGTAAAATGTGTGTCAAGTTCAAAATACTTAGCATGAAAAATGTGAAGCATCTCATAGTAACTTTTATATTGATTACATGTTGAAATGCTACTATTTGGATATATTGAGTTACAAAGTACATTATTGAAATTAATTTCACCTGTTTTCTTTGACCTTTTTCATGTAGGTATTAAAAGTCCAATGTGTTACCTGTTGTGCCACAGAGCGAGAGTCATGTGGACATTAGAAAATTCCATATTACATATGTGGCTCACATTATATATTTCTATAGGAGGGTGTGGTGCTAGAGACATTGATTGCCCTTATTTACAAATTTTTATCTTTTTTTTCAGAAGTTTTATCTTATCAACCATCTATCAATATCAGTTGTGCTTAAATGCATCTTTCTCTTGCATACCCAAAGCCTGGATGCTTTTTATTGAGTTAATAATTAAGATATGAGAAATGTTCTTTGTCCTTGTTCAGATTTTCAAGTTTGATAACCAACATTCTGATTGAGGCAAAACATGGTGGCTGGCAGAACCTAGCTGAACCTGGTGAACCACATCAGTGTGTTTGCTTTCCACTTTCACTGACCTGTGCATTGTCCCACCACGGTGTGATCCACTTCTCCAGCCTGAGCACTGTCCTTATGGACCCAGTCAGTGTCATCTCTGGTGCCCTGAATCATCCCACAGATGTTTGCCTTCTCAAAAGTACAGTGGTCCAAAAGAGTGTGAGTTGTGGCTAGAAATGATATGTTTATCATGGTTAAAAATGAAATACATTTCATTCCAAATAGCTAATGTCTTAAGCCACTAAAACCTCATTGTTCAAATACAACAGGATCGCAAGCCTGTTATCTTGACTTTTTCTCAAATGCAAATCTGACTGTCATCAGATGTTAGTACCTGCTAATATAGACACAGCCCTAACCTACCTCACAGATTCAAGATTTAAAAAAAAAAGTATAATCATTCTCTGCTATGTAAATACTAACCATAAACAAGGTACCTCTAACACTTGGCTTTTTACTTAGCAGGTCTTTTGTATATACTTATTGAACAGAATCAAACATTTTATTTCTGAAGGCTAGTGGGACCACCTTTAGAAAACATCCCACCCAAGAAGATTAGATTACTCTAGGAATAACTAACACAGGTAAAGAATTTTACAGGATACAGAATGCTTTCAAGTCCATTACCTATCTTGACCTTTACATAATAATGCATCCTTCAAAGGAAGCAAAAGAAACTAGACAATAACAGCTCCTTACATTTGTCCAGTACTTTGACTTTACAGAACACAACTACATAATTGGTTTTTTATAACCATCCAGTAAGGTTTGTGTTACAGTTTTTTTTGTTTGTTTGTTTTTTGTCTAGAGGTAGACCAACAAAAGTCATACAGTTTGTTCTTACTCTTTTAGCTAGAACATTAAAGAAGAGTAAAGGAAATCTCTAAGGCTGAGAGAATCTCTGTTGAGGCCAGTTTGCCCAGTTCCTAGAAACTGAGGTACTCACTGCAATTGTACATTCGGTTCAGCCTCTCTAAATCAATGTCACTGAAATCCAGTCGCTGTCCAATAATGGAGTTAAACTCAGGGATCTTGGCTGTGATGGTGGGAACACTTGCATTCTTGTTAAATGAGAAAGGCGCGTAGTGCATCAGAGACTCATAATCATAGGGTGTATTGAGGTCTGTTATGAAGCTGTCATTATAGGTGTTAAAGTTGTGCTGGTAACCTGTTAGGGAGAGAAAGAATCCACAGGTCCTGCTCAGTCATGTTATTTTCCCCATGCTGCTCTCTTTGACTACTTAGAGACCCTCCAAAAGAGGAAAATAATCAGTTCTATTTAAATATGTGTACTTAAATAAATCTATTTAAATATACATTATATTTTATAAGCAATATGATGTAAAATTAATATGCATAATTGATTAAAATTAGCTAATATCATATTATTTATATGTATAATATTGTAATAACTACAAAATACGTATTATAAAATGTAAATATATAAATATTAGAAATTACTAAATATGTGTACATGTTTATGCCAAAGATACATTATATATATAAATGTGTGTGTGTATCTGTGTGTGCATATGTGTGTGTATGTGTTCTCTTTTCAGAAAGAGAAGTTAAAACAGCAAAGCTGAGGAAGGTATTCCAAATGACAGGAAAAAAATTTTGAATTTAGGAAAATGTTCACAAATTGATTATGTTCAAGACACTTCATTCTAATAGCTGAGTACCTCATCCCCTAGGTCTGCCCAGAGCTGTAACTGCAGCTCTTCATGGGTTAGGAGAAGGAAATCTGAGGGGCAGAGGTAAAGGTAAGCAGCTGAAAGCAAGACAGGGGATTCTGTCAATCAAGGCTCACATCCTTCTCTTCCAGAAATAGCCTCCTGGAGAACAAAAATAAAATAGGAAGAAAAAAAACATATTTTCCTATTAAAAGAGGAAAGGTAAATATTTTTCTGACATTAGTGAAAGTGAGATAAGATGTGCTGCAATGTAAAAAGCTGAACAAAATAACTGATCAGAGGGTCTTTGAATTGACTGATAACCATCGGGAATTCACTGTTTGGGCTGCATTAATGGAAAGGCTTGCAGGTTTTTAATTTTCTTCTTGGAATGACAGAAAAGCTGAATGAGAATGCGGCTAACTCTGCCAGTCATAACTTCCCATCCTCATATCTTTCTCCTTCTCTAGCTCCTCATCCAGTTACTTTTTGTTGTTGTTGTTTGCTTGTTTTGTTTTGAGGTGGAGGTTTTGCTCTGTTACCCAGGCTGGAGTGCAATAGCACAATCTCAGCTCACTGTAACCTCCACCTCCTGGGTTCAAATGATTCTCCTGCCTCGGCCTCCCAAAGTGTGGGGATTACAGACATGAGCCACCGCGCCTGGCCTCATCCAGTTACTTTGAAAAATTAGAGAGGAGAAAATGTAACTGCCTCATACAGAGCTACATGCAGGGTTGCAGAAGTGTGGTGTGGCTAGGTGGCGCTCGAGCAGGTGCTTGAGGGAGTCTCTGAATGCTTTTGAAAAAGCTAAGGAGCAAGACCTTGTTTGAGCAATATCTTGCCTTAACTGTAAATTCTGAAAGCTGATGTTTTATTCTCCCAACTGATGGGGATTATGTTGGGGACTACTTGAGAGAGATTAAAGCATTTTTGAAGGTGGGACAGGTCTAAAAGAAACAATAGCTTTAACAGGGAAGGGGAAAGTTAATCCCCCCAGAATACTTGGTCTTAGGGTGTCACTCGAAGCAATGGAATTGTAAAGAGCATCAAGAGTCTGGGATCTCCTGATAACTCTCAGTGGCACCTGAAGCAAAGCACTTTCAAATCACTGGATGTGTTTTACTTAATTTTCCATAAAATCCTCTGGTTAGAGGCTGGGTGTGATAGCTCATGCCTCTAATCCCAGCACTTTTTGAGGGTGAGGTGGGTGGATCATTTGAGGCAAGGAATTTGAGACCAGCCTTGCTCACATTGTGAAACTCCATCTCTACCAAAAAACACAAAAATTAGCCAGGCCTGGTGGTGGACGCCAGTAACCCCAGCTATTCAGGAAGCTGAGGCATGAGAATTATTTGAACCCGGGAGGTGGAGATTGCAGTGAGCTGAGATTGTAGCACTGCACTCCGGCCTGGGTGGCAGAGCAAGACTCTATCTCAAAACAGAAACAACAAAATCCCATCAGGTTAGAACAGATTATTTTAATCAGCATTACTTAAGGATTCTTATGAGAATGTTTTGAAACAAATATTTTGAATAATTTTAAAAAATGTATTCAATGTATTTTTGTTGGGCGTAGTAGCTACTGGGAGCTGTGCTCAGTAGGTAGTGGCCCCCAACAGTGAATAAGATAGGCAGTCACAGCTGAGAGCTGAAAAGGGGCTGTAATCCAGGGCATGGGATCCTGTAAACCAGGGGTCAGTCAACAAACCTGTTCTATAGTAGATAGAAAGTATGTTCTCCATTGTAACTACTCAACTCTGCCATTGCACACAAAAACAGCCATTGACAATACTTAAACAAATGGGTATGATTGTGTTCCCATAACGCTTTCTTTACAAAAGCTAGTAGATACGGCCCATGGACTATCATTTGTTCATCCCTGCTAGACCTCAAAAGTTGAGTTTTTTCCCTAGCATAAGGAAACAAATTTCAAAAACACAATTTTGATTCAAGAACTGGAGATGCACATTGGAAGAGAATTGCATTGCCAGTGTCTTCTCAAGTTAAACAGAAGGCTTATCATTAACCAAAGTTAAATCAATAAAACTCATAAATTACCCTGATAAATTATACTGCCTGTGTTGCTAATCTTATTGGAGTTGATGTCTCTTTTGAGAACAGTTCTCCCGTGATTGCAGGCATTTTAGATATATGGAATTGTACCTGATGAAAACATAGATAGGAGATGAGCAAATATGCAACCTATGCTCAAACCAGAGCTGAGCAAGTCTGCATTTGACCCTGGCAAACGTGTTGGCTCACTCTGATAAAGGAAACTGCACTTGGCCTAAAACCATTTTAAAAGCACTAACTATTGTCTTCTATAAGACCTGGAAATAGGAATGCTTTCTGCTTTCTTACAAAATTTTCAGAAAAGCCAAGTGTATGTACAGGAAGGTAAGAAATTGAGGCTGAGAGGCAAATATAGACAAAGTCTAATAGCACCCTGAGTTGTGCAATCAGAGATTCAGTCCTTTGACCTGTTACTCCATTTCCTTCTTCCTTCTACAAACACACAGCTATAATACAACTACCACTGAGTAGAGACAGGTACATTAAGGCTGAGCTATTATTTCATCTGTGGGTGAATATGCTCCAAAACTTTTCTAGATTAGCCTGGGAGGCAAAGAAGAATGCTATCTGACCTTTGGTTCAGTGGGTGGTGGTAAGATGGTGGGAGTATGTGGGTAGGCTCAAACCTGATGACCTATTAAAGTGTTATAAGTTACAGTTTTCTTCCTTAGTACACCAATCCACATTCACAGAATTACCAGAATATGAGAGACTAGGAAGCCATGGGTTGAGAAACCCCACAAGTAATTTCGATTAGCCAGCTCTACCCTGACCTCATGTGAAAATCATTGACCATCTTACTCCCAAATGAACTATTATAGTACTGACAGAAAATTTTGAGGATTCATATTTAATTTTAAAGCTTGGCCAGTTCTTTCAAGCCCCTAAAAGTAAAATTATTATAGATATACTACGATATATTAATCAGCATATAAAACTGGGATCTAAATAAAACAGATACTTACACAAGGCTATTATTTATTTTATAAAAGCCATGCATAGAAACATTTAAGGTATTTTAAATACATTAAAGTTTCACTAATCTCTCACTTCCAAAAACAATGTTTTTCCATTCCCTACACTAATTTCTACTTAAAAACTAGTTACCTTCAGAAACATAGCATTGACTTTTTTTTTTTCTAGAACATCAGAAAACTGCTCAATAAATGTTTTAGTGTGCTCAAAAGCACTCTACATCATTGTCTCAATCAATTAAGGAAAGTAAGGGCCGGGTACGGTGGCTCATGCTTGACATCCCAGTACTTTGGGAGGCCAAGGCAGGTGGGTAACCTGAGGTCAGGAGTTCAAGACCAGCTTTATCAACATGGCAAAACCCTGTCTCTACTAAAAAAATACAAAATTAGCTGGGGGTGGTGAGGCACACCTATAGTCCCAGTTGAGGCAGGAGAATCGCTTGAACCTGAGAGGCAAAGGTTGCAGTGAGCCGAGATCGTGCCATTGCACTCCAGCCTGGGCAACAAGAATGAAACTCCATCTCAAAACAAAACAAACAACCTAAAGAACAATGAAATAGTTAGAATAATATAACTGCATAATATGTAAGACAAAACTGTTATCTTTTGCATAGTATGAGGTGAAGACAGAAGAAGCAAGTTGCTTAGAAGTGAGGAAGAAAAAACATTAACCTTTAATTAATCAGAACCTAGGTAACTAGCCAGAATTAACGTAATTGGGGTATTTCAGATGAAAGCATCCATTTTTGTTTTTGTTTTTAAACACTTTTCATTGATTTGGTAAAGCAACTGAAAAAATACTTCCTGTAGTCATGGAATAATCAGCTAACCCTGAAAAAGCCTTCTAGAGGCACAGGAGACTTCACATCCAGAAAACTGACTTTAATATCTGGATTCACTTTACTCATTAAGACAGGAAAGTAAACAGTTTTAGATGGAGTTTTAATGAAAACACTGATATAAAGCAAAGCTTCTGGTTAACTTTCAGTTGACCTCTACAGTGAGTTACCACGATTCCCCGAGATCCTTATCTGCGGTGAATTATGGTCAGATCAGCACAGTCCACATAAAGGGCCAACAAATCATAACCTCTTCATAGTCTGTGTTTCCACTAAAGAGGCTGAAGCTCCTGTCCTCACAGATTTGGCCTGGTCATCCCAGCTTGGTCTTAGCCAGTGATAAATGTGACAACTATCTCCACCCAATCACACCTGGAAGAATTTCGTCCCACCAGATGTTCACATAATCATCGCGGTCAGTCCTTGACTGCTCGTGGTAAAATCCCAAAGCATGCAGGATCTCGTGTTCTATGATGGCCTTATAATCACATCCCTGGCCAATGGAAAGATTCTGTCCCACGTGTTGGTCACCAACTTCAGACCAGCACCTACAAAGAGGAGAAGAGGAAAAATATCTTCTAGAGAATTGTTTAAGTGGCCATCATTCACAGCACTTCAAAACACAAATTAAGAGGAAATTAGTTTTGATTTTAAAAATAAATTACCAACTGCATTCTCATATGCTGATAGTCCAAAGGTGGCAGATGGTTAAATAAGGAACATTCCCTAGAGGGAAGACTATGCAGGCTTTAAAAGTGAAGATAGGTCAGGAGGCTGAGGCAGGAGAATTGCCTGAACCCAGGAGGCGGAGGTTGCGGTGAGCCGAGATTGTGCCATTGCACCCCAGCCTGGGTAACAAGAGCGAAACTCCGACTCAAAAAAAAAAAAAAAAGTGAAGATATGATACATTATAAAAATGGCACATACTCAGAAGCAAATCAATCCTATTGTAATAATTCATCAAGGTAGAAAGCAGTAAGAACTGGCATTCTTCCTCACCTCCACAAATTCACAGGGCACTCCAAAGAATAACACTATTGCCTTTATCTAAAAACTGTTGTCTGAGGGAAAACTGGTTGATTTAACTTTTTTCCTTTTCTTTTCTTTTTTGAGATGGGGTCTCACTTTATCACTCAGGTTGCTGTACAGTGGCACAGCCACAGCTCATGGCAGCCTCAACCTTCCTGACTCTGGTGATCCTCCCACCTCAGCCTCCTGAGGGGCTGGGACTTGGGACTACAGGCATGCACCACCACACCCAGCTAGTGTTTTTATTTTTTTAAATTTAGATAATTTATTTAGAAAGTAGAAAATAAAAAGTATGATTCTAACATCTATTTAGAATATGAACAAAATTAGAAACAGTTAAACTACAGAAAAAAAGGCAGAGATACTGAAGTTGGTTTAATGACTATCCAATACAAACAGGCAAAACCCAAGTTACTCTCATGCAAAGAAGCATTAAGCAAGAGAATATGGGAATGTTTGCAGAATGCACCATAGCAAATATTTTTCAAATTTACATGAGAAACTGTACATAAATGAAAAAATAAATTAGGTAATTTGCAAGAAGTGTTTTACAGGTTATAATAGGTTATAACTTAGTTTATTATGAATAAAATTTGTAGCACATAATACATTTTTACATCAGAGATTCAGTGTTAAATGAATCAGACATGATAAAGCGTAACTATAGTATACCTCCAAAGGCTAACAGATTTGATTTTTACTCAAAGATGAATCTTATTTATTTTCTAATAACTTCATTAAGGTATAATTTACAAACTATAAAAGTCTTTCATTTTAAGTATACAATTCAATAACTTTTAGTAAATTTACAGTGTTATGCAAATGCAACCATGATCAACTTACCTCTTTGATAGTGACATTTTATTACCAAATCAGTTTATTCTGCAAAATGTCCACAATCCAAAGAAAGCATTTATTATTGATCATATATATATATATATATATATATATATATTTATATATTTCTTTTTACATCCCTCCCGCAACAGAAAGATATAAGTTGCAAAAATACCATACATGCCACCTCACTGTGAACTTTTGACCTTGTCTATCTGAAAGAGCCCTAGTTAGCCTCCAACTTCAGGGGACCAGTGCCCTGAAAGGTTAGGGGCAATTTGGGCCAGTTCCTTTGCAAAACCTCTTCCTCTCTTTTCCCCTCTCTTAAATTATTTGTAACAGAGGCACCTCCTGGCCATAGGTAATGGGGCTGCCCAGGTTCAGCACTTTTACAAAGAATGTCTCCCAAAGCTGACCTATCCCTTAATCAGGTACTTGGGACACAGTTAAAAACACAAAAGATGCCAGGAGAACTTCACTGGGAAAGGGAGAACGTTTAGAAAGTGATCATATTGATTTTGCTTTGTTTTTAAGGAGTTTCTCTGTGAAAAAAAAAAAAAAAAGATGCCAACGTGGTAGTTGAAGAATGGAAATAAAAGTGTTAAGAAAATTGTTTCTCTGAAATTTTCAATGAAAAATGAAAGGTTTTTGGCACTGTTTTGAAGGTCAGAGATTGCCAAGGGACAAAATGAAATAGTTAAAAGCAGAAGGCCTCTAAAATGTGTGGTCTTTCCAAGGCCTGAGATATACTTTAAATGTTTCCCCTTTATAGAAAGACAAACTGTCCAACTACGATTGATTATCTCCATTTATATGACCTGCAAAAACCTCAAGCAATAAAACACATGCTGAAAGATAAGTTTACTCTCCTGCCTTATCACCAAAGTTATTCTTTCAGCAATATTCTCAGCCTCAGCAAATGAAGTTACTATTTGCCAGTCATGCAAATCAGAAATCTCAGACATTTTTGACTCCTCTCCCTTCCTAACTCCTCCCACGAACCAATCTGATAAGGTTAGGTTCTAATAAGCCTACTTTTTCACATATTTCAGAAATCCATTCCTTCTTCTTTATAACACCTGCCTCTTCCTTGGTGTAAGTCCCTTACATTTTCCCCTGGAAAATTGGAGCATCTGTTAATTGATCTCTTGCCACCAGTCTTGCTCTATTTTAAATTTTTATCCATGCTGATCAAGTAATCTTTCTACAATGGAAAATTGAGCATAGAATGAACCTTGTACCCAACAAGAAATTCTCTCACACATGGCTGTTCATCACCAGGCTCCTGCTCACCTTCCTGGTCCTGCTCATTATCTGCTCCTGACATGCAAAGCCCCAGGCGCACTGAACTTAGGGAGTTCTCCAAGTAACCAGGTTCAGGTTCATGTTTGCTCTCTTCTCCCCCTCTCCCTCTTCTTCCCTTTGATCCTCTCCTCCCTTTCTTCTTCCTTCTTCTCCTCCCTCACCCTCACTGTCTCTCCCTCTTCCTGGCCCCAATTTGTCCTCCCTTCTTCTAACACTCATCTCAACTCTCTCTGATGCTTCATCCCACACTTTCTCAGAGGTCCCATTCCTGTAGTGCTGCAACCCACGACATTCGCTGTCATGTATTAAGACAAGGTACTCATATTTCCATCACCCTCACCCGCCAACTGTAAGCCTGCTGAGTGCTATGACCATATTGCATATCTTGTTGCACCTATAGTCTAGCACACTTCCTGGAATGTAGTAGGTGTACAGTGTTGCTTTGTTTTGTTTTATAAAAGAATGAGCTACAGTAATAACTACTCAGGTAAGTAAGGTATTTAATTTGTATCTAAGTAGTTGTCAGTATTTTGCTTTTATTTAACTGCCATTTTTTGCATTTTTTTCTAAGAGGCTAAATGATGTGCTGACTTCCATTTTCATCATACTATCCATCCATGATTATCAAAACCTCATGGTCAGGATTTGGGATTAACATGGGGAATAGGAGGCAGGACTAGCTTGCAGCTCTCTGGAGAGAGCAGTGTGTGGAGGTCAATTATTAAGCCAATCAAGGAGGCACCAGAGAAAGGTAAAGTCCAACTTAAAGAAATCAGAAACATCACGAGGATATGAAAGGAAAATTATTCACTGAAATAGACAGCATAAATAAAAAAAAAACAGTAACAACTTCTGGAAATCAAGACACACTTGGAGAAATGCAAAATGTGCTGGAAAGTCTCAGCAATAGAATTGAACAAGAAGAAAGAACCTCAAAGCTCAAATATAAAGCTTTTGAATTAACCCAATCCATCAAAGACAAAGAAAAAAGAATTTTAAAAAAATGAACAAAGCCTCAAAAAAGTTTGGGACTATGTTAAATATCCAAACCTAAGAATAATTGGTGTTCCAGAAGAAAAAGATAAATCAAAATATTTGGAAAACATACTTGAGGGAATAACCGAGGAAAACTTCCCCAGCCTTGGTAGAGATCTAGAAATACAAGAAGCTCAAAGAATACCTGGGAAATTCATCTCAAAAAGATCATCATCTAGGCACATACTTATCAGGTCATCTAAAATCAAGACAAAGGAAAGACTCTTTTGGAGTCGTGAGGCAAACACATCAGGTAACCTATAAAAGAAAACCTATCAGATTAACAGAAGATTTCTCAGTGGAAACCCTACATGCTAGAAGGCATTGGAGTCCTATTTTTAACCCCTTTAAACAAAACAATTATCAGCCAAGAATTTTGAATCCAGTGAAACTAAGCATCATAAATGAAGGAAAGATACAGTCTTTTCCAAACAAATGCCGAAAGACGTCATCACGACCAAGCCAACGCTACAAAAACTGCTAAAAGGAGGTCTAAATCTTGAAACAAGTCTTCAAAATACACCAAAATAGAGCCCATAAAACATAAATCTTACAGAACTTATGTAACAATAACACAGTGAAAAAAACTCAAGGTATTCAAGCAACAAATTGCACAATGTATAGAATAGAACCTCATATCTCAATAACATTGAATGTAAATGCCCTAAATACTCCACTTAGAATATACAGAATGGCAGAATGAATAAGAATTCACCAATCAAGTTTCTGCTGTCTTCAGAATTGTCTATTTGTACTCTTTCAGACTTTTGATGTAGGCATTTAATGCTAGGAACTTTCCTCTTAGCACCATTTTCGCTTTTGCTGTATCCCCGAGGTTTGAAAGGGTATGCCACTAATATCATTCAGTTCAAAGAATTTTTAAATTTCCATCTTGATTTCATGGTTGACCCAATAATTACTCGGGAGCAGGTTATTTAATTTCCACATACTTACATGGTTTTGAGCGCTCACCTAACACATAAGGACTCACATAAACTTAAGGTAAAGGGGTGGAAAAATATATTCCATGTAAATGGACACCAAAAGCAAGCAAGAGTAACTATTCTTATATCAGACAAAACAAACTTTAAAGCAACGGCAGTTTAACAAGACAAAGAGGAACATTATAAAATGATAAAAAAGACTAGTCAAACAGGAAAATATCACAATTCTAAAAATATATTCACCTAATGCCAGAGCCCCCAAATTTATAAAGCAATTGCTATTAGACCTAAGAAATGAAATAGATGGCAACACAGTAACAGTGGGAGACTTTAATACTGCACTTACAGCACAAGACATGTCATCAAGACAGAAAGCCAACAAAGAAACAATGGACTTAAACTATACCTTTCAACAAATGGACTTAGCAGATATTGACAGAACATTCTATGTAGGAAATTTATGAGCCCCACACATAGGATGCCAGAATATAGGAATTTATGACCCTTACGTTGGGCACCAAAATATAGGGAGCCAACCCTACATTACCCATGGTACCCCATTTGGTGGCGACAAAGGAATGAGAGAAAGACAGATTAAGAGAAAAAGTGGGACCAGGGGACCATCACTTTATTACTTTGGAAGTGACAGAGAAGGCCCCCAGCTCTGATTGTCCACACTATTTATTGATTACAATTTACTTTGATTTACAGGGTAGGGATGGAGTAATGGTGGGCAGAGGGTGATGGTGGAGTGAATTAGTGAGCTGGAACTGAATTAGTGAGACGGAACTGGTATATCATTCTAGGGATTGGTTAACAGTGGCAGTCTGGGAGTTTCACAAAACAAGAACATGTGGTTGTCTTTACCTTCTTATCTATGTACAGTTCATGGAACGCGGGCCTTACAAGGAGCCTACAAGTTTGGCTACGTTATAGTGCTATGAAGGGGTTTTAGTCCTTGAGCACAATATTTATGGTAACAGAGCAGAGGTTACCCTGTATCGGAACATAAGGCATAAAAAGGCCTTCCTCCTTAGAGGCCTCCTGCAGCCCTCTGCAGTTTGTTGTTCCTTGCTTACATGTTACTTGTAACCAATTTATGTAGGCACTTTGTAAGTTCTTTCTCCTTTGCAGCTTTTCCCAACAATTCTACCCAATAATGGCAGGATATACATTATAGTCATCAGCACATGGAACATTCTCCAAGCTAGACCATATGACAGACCGCAAAACAAGTCTCAGTAAATTTAAGAAAATCAAAATTATATCAAGTACACTTTCAGATCACAGTGGAATAGAATTGCAAATTACTCCAAAAGGAACCCTCAAAATCAGGCAAACACATGGAAATTAAATAACCTGCTACTGAATGATCATTGGGTCAACAATGAAATCAAGATGGAAATTAAAAAAAAATTTGGACTGAATGGGAATAGTGATATAACCTATCAAAACATCCAGGATACAGCACAAGCAATGCTAAGAGGAAAGTTTATAGCATTAAATGATACCAAAAAGTCAGAAAGAGCACAAATATATAATCTAATGTTACACCTCACAGAACAGGAGAAACAAGAACAATCCAAACCCAAACCTAGCAGAAGAAAAGAAGTAACAAAAATCAGAGCAGAACTAAATGAAATTGAAACAAAAAGGAAAATACAAAAAAAAAATGAAACAAAAACCTGGTTCTTTGAAAAGATAAATAAAATTGATAGACCATTAGCAAGATTAACCAAGAAGAGAGAAGTTCCCAATAAGCTCAATTAGACATGAAACAGGAGCTATTACAACTACTACAAAGAAATACAAAAGATTATTCAAGAGTACTTTGAACACCTTTATGTGTATAAAATAGAAAACCTAGAAGAGATGGATAAATTCCTGGAAATACACAACCCTTCTAGATTAAACCAGGAATATATAGAATCTCTGAACAGACCAATAACAAGTAGTGAGATTGAAACGGCAGTTTAAAAATTGCCAACAAAAAATGTCTGGGACCAGACAGATTCACAGCTGAATTCTACAAGACATTCAAAGAAGAATCAGTACCAATCCTATTGACACTATTCCAAAGATAAAGAAAGAGGAAATTCTCCCTAAATCATTCTATGAAGCCAGCATCACCCTAATACCAAAACCAGGGAAGGACATAACAAACAAAGAAAAGTACAGACCAGTATCCATGATGAACATACATGCAAAAATCCTCAACAATATGCTGGTGAACTGAATCCAACAGCATATCAAAAAGATAATTCACCATGATCAAATAGGTTTTATCCAGGGATGCAGGGATGGTTTTACATACACAAGTCAATAAATGTGATATATCACATAAAGAGAATTAAAAACAAAAATCACATTATCACCTCAATAGATACAGAAAAAGCAATTGACAAAGTCCAGCATCCCTTTATGATTAAAACCCTCAGCAAAATTGGCACAGAAGGGACATACTTTAAGGTAATAAAAGCCATTTGTAACAAACCCACAGTCAACATTATAGTGAATGACAAACGTTGAAAGCATTTCCCGTGAGAACTGGAACAAGACAAAGATGCTCACTCTCACTCTCACTACTTCTATTCAACATAGTACTGGAAGTCCTAGCCAGAACAATTAGACAAGATAAAGAAATAAAGGGTATCCAAATCAGTAAACAGTAAGCCAAACTGTCACTGTTTGCTGATGATATGATTGTATACCTAAAAAACCCTAAACACTCATGCAAAAAGCTTCTAGAACTGGTAAATAAATTCAGCAAAATTTCAGAATCCAAAGCTGAGGTACACAAATCAGTAGCTCTGCTAAACACCAACAGTGTCAAGTTGAGAATCAAATCAAGAACTTAACCCCTTTCACAAGAGCTGCAAACAAACAAACAAACAAAAAAAACTTAGGAATATACCTAGCAAAAGACTGAAAGACCTCTACAAGGAAAACTACATAACACTGCTGAAAGAAATAATAGATGACACAAACAAATGGAAACATATCCATCTGAAGCTCATGGATGGGTAGAATCAATATTGTGAAAATGACCACAATTGCCAAAAGCAGTCTACAAATTTAATACAATTCTCATGAAAATACCACCATCATTCTTCACAGATCTAGAAAAACAATCCTAAAATTCATATGGAACCAAAAAAGAACCCACATGACCAAAGTAAAACTAAGCAAAAATCACAAATCTGGAGTCAACACATTACGCAACTTCAAAATATACTATAAGACCATAGTCACCAAAATAGGAGAGTACTGGTATAAAAATAGACATGTAGACCAATGAAACAGAATAGAGAACTCAGAAATAAACCCAAATACCTACAACCAACTGATCTTCAACAAAGCAAACAAAAACATAAAGTGGGGAAACAGCATCCTATTCAACAAACGGTGCTGGGAAAATTGGCAAGCCACATGTAGAAGAATGAAACTGGATCCTCCTCTCTTACACTATACAGAAATCAACTCAAGATGGATCAAAGATTTAAATCTAATACCTGAACCCATAAAGATTCTAGAAGGTAAAATCAGAAAAATCCATCTAGACATTGACTTAGGTGAAGACGTCATGACCAAGAACCTGAAAGCAAATGCAACAAAAACAAAGATAAATGAATGGGACTTCATTAAAAAGCTTCTGCACAGCAAAAGAAATAACCAGCAGAATTAACATTATGATATATATATATATGTATATATATATGCTAGTGTGGATGCAGTGAAAAGGGAACATTTTTACACTGTGGGTGGGAATGAAAACTAGTACAATGACTATGGAAAGCAGTGTGGAGATTCCTTAAACAACTAAAAGTAGATCTACCGTTTGATCCAGCAATCCCACTACTAGGTATCTATCCAGAGGAAAAGAAGTCATTATATGAAAAAGATATTTGTGCACACATGTTTATAGGAGTACAATTTGCAATTGGAAAGATATGGAACCAGCCCAAATGCGAATCAATCAAGTGGATAAAGAAAATATTATGTTCATATATAATATATTATGTACATATGTATGTGTGTGTGTGTGTGTGTGTGTATTGCCTTTGCGTCCTCATAGCTTAGCTCCCACATATGAGTGAGAAGGTACAATGTTTATTTTTCCATGTCTGAATTATTTCACTTAGAATAATGGTCTCCAACTCAATCCAGGTTGCTGTGAATGCCATTATTTGGTTCCTTCATACAGACACACACACACACACACACACACACACACACACCCCATGTAATACTACTCAGCCATAAAAAAGAAGGAAATAATGGCATTCACAGCAACCTGGATGGAGTTGGAGACCATTATTCTAAGTGAAATAATTCAGGAATGGAAAAACAAACATTGTATATTCTCACTCATATGTGGAAGCTAAGCTATGAGGTCACAAAGACAAAAGAATAATACATTGGACTTTGGTGACTCAGGTGGAAGGATGGGGTAAGGCAAGGAATAAAAGACTGCACTTTGGGTACAGTGTACACTTCTCTGGTGATGGGTGCCATCAAAATCTCAGAAATGACCACTGAGGAACATATTCATGTAACCAAAAATAAATAAAGCACACATGGTCATAACTAGACAACCACTGCAAGTGGAGCTGAAGACACAAACAGATAGTGTCACAGCAGATGGTGGCTTTGCTTCCCAGTCTATTGGTTGACATAAACACCATCAAAGAAAAATGGCTTCTTTCTTGATACACCATTCAGTTCTTAGAAATAAATCACTATGAAGAACAAATTGATATCTAGAACTTTTCAAAGAAGTCTAGCAACAGAGTACTACAATTTAGAACAGTACTCTTTAAAGGATAAAGTTTATACTTCAATAAACCTAACTTTTAAAAAAAGTACTCTAATTTAAAATATGACCTAAATATAAAAATAGTATTGAAATGGATTTCCCTGAAGCCCAGACATATCCAAATAATTCATTTTGTGAGGAGTATGTTAAAAATGTTATATAACTTAAAAATTCACAGTGAATGATTTGATTTTGCTTTTAGTTTCTTTTCAATTTCTTCTTTTCACCTTTGAAAGAGATGTGCCACTTTTTATAAACCAAAGTATTCATGATTTTCGCTCTGTAAAAATTTCATACTAACCCATCGAACTGTTGAAATATGATGTATGAGCTCTCTCCTTCATAGGGCTTGAAATCCACACAGGACTTAAGGCGGAACATTTCAAAGGCATACAGAATGGCTCCTTTAGCATTCAGCCCTGAGAAATCAGTAAAAATATCAATGAACATTATTTAGACATTGGATAATATCTACAACTTATAGTTCAGAGAAAACCGTGCTACCACATGAAATCCGCGGGTGCATTATAGATTTTTTGGTAATAAATAGATTTCCTAGTAACTAAAACTGCAAAATTGGTCGTGGACATGTGTAAAATTAGTTGTGGACATAAACATTAAGTGCATACTTTAAATGCCCAATGCAAATATGTCTACAAAATAAGAATACACGCATGTGTATATGGCTAAATAAGATAATGAAATAACTTCCACTCTTTTTCTCTTTCGCTTTCTCCCACTGAAGCAGAGATTTGGAGTGCATTGCCTCAGGAGAGTCACATGGCAGAGCAGAAAACAGAGTGGTTTGTGAGTAGCTCTGGCTTTAGTTGATTAGATAAAGTACTTTAGAGTGAGGCAGTGAGAATAGTGTTCTTTACCCCTATCTAAAAAGATATTCCGTCTTTCTAGAGGAGAAGAGCAGAGCTTAGAGAGATTTGTGGGTTCTGAAAGTGTAAGAAGCACATGTGGTATTTTACTCTGCTTCCAAGCAAGATGCCTGAGAGATGGCAAGACTAGACAGCTTATACTGCACAAAGCCTTAGAAAAGATTTCTGTATCCCAAGCTCAGTACCCAAGCAGCAGTGGACTTGAAGGGGCAGGAAAAATAGATGCTGATTAGTAACCTGTGGGGACCGATGATCAAAGATCAAATGCCTTTCCTTTCACCTAACATGCATGCACTTTGGCTCCATAAGACAAAGATGGGGTAGAGAAGAAAGATACTCCAGGGGAAATGAGATCATGTTTTATTTTGTGTGCATTTTTTCCCACCAATCAACTCATTAAAGATTAGAATCTAAGTTAAAAATTAAGACAAGTTATATAAAATTAAATTATATTTCTTGTACATTTGAATTTAGTACTTTCTCTCAAGGAGTTTATAATGATTGGCCAGGAAATTACATCATATTTTTCTGGCCTTTATTTCATTTAATAAACTATCAAATTGGAGATTTCACAGCCTAGGTGTCATAATATCATATCAAGATCATTAAAGAAACAGTCACTGGAATAGTCAATAAACTGATTGTGGAAACAACACAGATAATAACAAGAGCACTCATTACATCTTCTGGGAGATTTTCATGCACTTTTACCTATTCTTACTTAGTTACATCTGTAATATGATGACCTGTACCCAAGATAGCTGTGGTGTCACAAAAATGTAAGAAAAAAAGGTGATTACACTGAAGTCAAGCTTCCTAGAAGGCTATGTGGCTTTTTTTATCCTCAATCCAAATGATGGGATTCCTGAGACTGGTTAATTTTTAAATCATACTTCTTCTTCCTTCTCCACACCTGAATAAATTGTAAAGAGGGAACTAAGAACCTATGTAATAATTTTGTAAAAACTGCCATAACATCATTGGGATGAATGGAAATAGAGTCCATTTAAAGTCTTCCTCTTGTCCATGAAGGCAACCCTGAGTGCCCCTCCTCATTTGATTTTCTTATTTATTTATTTATTTTCTCTCTCTTTCTTTCTTTTCTTTCTTTCTTTCTTTTTTCCTTCTTTCCTTCCTTCCTTCCTTCCTTCCTTCCTTCCTTCCTTCCTTCCTTCCTTCCTGCCTTCCTTCCTTCCTTCCTTCCTTCCTTCCTTCCTGCCTTCCTTCCTTCCTTCCTTCCTTCTTTCTTTCCTTCTCTCTCTCTCTCCTTTTCTTTTCTGTTAGGAACAAGAATTACAAAAAGACAAAAAATGTACCACGAGGTACAATGTTTATGGATTATAGGACTCAATATTTTTAAGATATTAGTTTTCTACAAATTTATACACAGAATCAACACATTTCTATCAAAATTCCAGCAGGCTTTTTAGAGAAATTGATTATAAAATATACACAAAAATGCAAAAGATCTGGAGTAGGCTAAACTGTCTTGAAATTGGAGAACAAAGCTGGAGCACTCACTTCAAGGTTAACTATAAAGCTGGAACAATGAACGTAGTGATTTTGACATGATGGTAGATAAGTAGAATAAGATAAAAAAATAGGGATACGAGATCAAGAAACAAAGAGTCTTGGCAAACTTGGCAAACAAGAGTCTTGCAAAGAGTACTCAATGAGGAAAGCAAAGTTTTAAGCAAATGATGCTAGAACAACTGGGCTAATAAATACCAATCAATCAATCTCAATCTCTTCATCCTGTTATACACAAAATTAGTTTGCAATCAATTATAGACAAAAATTGAAACCATACAACTTCAAAAACTATTGGAAAAATATCTTTGTGACTTGGTTTAAGTACAGATTTCTTAGAATATAAAAACACAAACCATGTTAAAAAAATTGATAAATCACACTTTATTGGCATTTAAAGCTTTCATGTTTCAAAATTCACTGCTTGAAAAACAAAAACAAATAAGTAAGTAGCAGACTAACAGAAAATATTTATAAAATATATATCTGACAAAGGGCTTTAGCCATAGTATATAAAATCTTACAAATAATAAAAAGACAAACGATATAATTTTTACAAATTGTGAAGGAGTTGGACAACCTTTCATAAAAGAAGATAAAGAAATAGCCCATAGCATTCTAAAATGTGCTAAATGTCACTAATCATTACAGAAATGCAAATTAAAATCATAGGGAGCTACCATTTTACAACTGCTAAAATGGCTATAATTAATAAGATTAATACTGTCAATGTAAGGATGTGGAGCAAATGAAATGCTCATATATTTTTCAGGAGGAATGTACAATGGCGTAGCCACTTTGGAAAACTGTTTGGCATTTTCTTACATAGTTATTCATATGATCAAGCAATTATGTGCCTAGGCATTTTACCAAAGATAAATAAGAAATGTATTCACATAAACTTGTAAAGAGTGATCATAAAAATTTTCTTCTTACTAGCCCTAACAGGAAAATGGACAATAATTTGCAGTATATCAATATAAAGAAATATTACTGAGTAGTGAAAAAAAGGAATTAACTGTTGATCCACAACAATATGGAAGAACTTAAAAAGCATAAGTCAAGGAAGCCAGACACCTAGTATTTATAAAATAAATACTGTGGTATATGAGCTCATGTATCTGTTGTAAATCAGGCAGAACCATGGGGAAGAAATAGAATGGTGGTTCCCTCTTAGGGAGTAGAGATGGGAACTGCCTAGAAAGGAACTTTATGGAATGATGCAAGTGTGGATTATATAGGTATATGTGTTTGTCAAAAGCCTTATATATTGATTTGTGTATTTCACTCCATGTAATTTTAACTTGAGTAAAAAAAATTCTATAGAAATATTGAACTCTAGTTAGAAAGTTTGCTTTCACAATGGTCTAAGTCTGGGCATCTGAACTTTAACACTAAAGATGACCTTCACGTGGTGTTGCTTGAGAGATACTGCTGTATCCTTACTACCTTTATCTTATGTTTGTGTCAAATTACTCTCAATTATAATTTCTTACCTACCTTGCAACTATAGAGACCTTACTACTTAAGCTGTGGTTTGTGTGGACCAACAGCATCAACACCACTGGGGACCGCTGGATATGCAACATTTCACGCACCAAACCTGACCTACTCTGTAGGTTAACAAGATCCTCCTATGAGTCCTATGCACATTAAAGTCTAAGAAGCACTGCCTTACACCTCCCAGAGACATGGTGAGGTTACTTAAAATATCAGATGAAGGCACATTGCCTGGCACATAATAGAGTGGTGCAGATGTGACAACCAGGATAAGAAAAAATTGTAATAGGAAAGAACCCCTTTTAAAAAGCTGATGTTTCTTAAACCATGTGCCATTAGGTATTGGTGTTCCATGAATTTGCAAGGCAAACACTGGATAAAATAACTCAATTTTCCAACTAATAACTGAGAACAAGAGCATTTGTTTATATCTAGCTGTTCTCCAAAAAAGGGATACAAAGCAGCATGATAAGGAGGATGGAAAATACTGAAACATAATCTACATCTCCTAAGAGGAGAAGCTGCCTAACAGCCCAACAAGATTAGGCAACCTTGTCCTGGCTTCCCCTCTTCACTCTAATCTTGTTCATCTGTCTAAGCAGGAGTGGCCTTGCAGGCATTGAGTCACCATGGCTGCTCAGCTGTCCATCAACTGCTTGAGGATCAGCCAGTGACTACATGTGGCTTCTAATATTTATTTATTTCTACCAGTTGTTAGTTCTATACTCAATCTTAGCTAAAAGGTGAAGTTATTCCACCAGTTATTTCTAACAATGAGTAAAATGTAACGTATTCAGATCTTTTTCTTAAGAGAGAGAAAAGAGTAGACATTATTAACACCAAGAAAAAAGGATTGTGAACATGTGAAATACAGACTTTTTCATTTCTCATTGTGGCATGTTTCTCTTGTAACAAAAAGAGAAGAAATCGATATGCTAAAAATAGTGTACTCACACTACATTTAGATTTACCTAAACATAGTACAAACTTTTCGTTGTGCTGATGTAAAGTATGTTTCATTGGGTTTTTGCTCTTTTGTATTGTTCCTGGTTATATTAATACTTTAATGTGTGTTGCATTTTAAAAGTTATTTTTGGATAATGTATATCTCAGACTGGTTAAGCAGCACTGGTTTTCATGTAATGTCATATCTCTCTCCCCATGAGATAAAGATTCATCAGGACTTGAAAACCCTCTGGTTTTCCTTGTGTTTACTCCCAATGTGAAACCCATGAATAGGTTGAGAGGGGAGAGCAAGTTAAACTGAAACCCCCTATTTAAGAACAATTAATATTACCCAAATTATCAGCCAAAATGTAAGGAATGGGGAACGTCCACCTGCTGTTTTGGTCTCTCAGGCCATTTCTGGAGTTCTGTGAAAACAAAGGTAAAAATGGATGGGAAGCCCAGTCCTCAAGGTCACCTTAATCCACCTCCTTCACTAAACTCTCACACAGCAAATAGTCTATCATGCAATTCAAACAGTTTAGTGGCAATTTGTCTTCTGATTATGAAAGCAATAGAAGTTCTTGAGAGATAATTTGGAAAAATCAGAGAAATTATTAAGAACAAAATTAAGGGGGCATGAAATCTCAAAAAACTGCGATAGCTGCTACAGATGTGTTGGTGCATTATCTTCCCTCTCATTCTTGATTTATTAGGAAAATTTGATAGATAACCCATTTAATTATTTTAGACTTTTTTGTGCTGTTTGCTTATTTTCCCTCTGTTTTTGTCCTTACCAACTAAAGTGGAACTCCTCACTGGAACAGATTATAGATGAGATTTCTCTTATCTCCTCCACAGTGCCCATCCCACGGCTGGCCACAGAGCAGAGGCTCACACCCAGTCATACTGCCTCTCCTGAGGAATTTATTGCATCATTGAAAGGTACTCACCTGCAAGAGGATGTCCCCTTGAAAGAGGTCCAAGCCTGCAGCTGGAAGTTAAAAAATTTTTTTAAAAGAATATTTGAGTGAACATTATTAAAAGGCATCTTTCATAATAAAATTTTTGCCATTATAAGTCTTTGAATATTAATCTTTATGTGGCAAAACTCTTTTTGAAACAATGCAAAAATTCCAATTGAGCAAATGTGAATGACTAATGAGTATCACATCTTGTCACAGCCTCTGTTTTCAATTTTGGAACAAGAAATCTTGTCTAAGAATCTTAGAAGTAAGAAATAAGTTAGAAGGGATTTTACTGATCACCAACTATAAAAAAGGGATTAGAGGCAGTGCTGATAAGGAGGATGAAAAATATTGAGAGAATGGCTGGGTATGGTGGCTCACACCTGTAATCCCAGCACTTTGGGAGGCTGAGACAGGTGGATCATCTGAGGTCAGCGTCGGGATTCACTCTGGGTGGCTGGCAAAATATTAGGGAAATTTTGGAAAAATCTATAAGATTATAGTCTCAAATCTTTTGGAAGGCCAAAAGGTTTTAATTAAACAGATTAAAGACAGCCAATTCTTACATTAAAACTTTAAGTCATAGGGTAAAGTTTAGAATAATAGAAGCTTCTACAGTTAAGTCTGTTTACCCCATATTCCTTTGTCTCTGTTTACTCATGTAAACTTTGTGCTGGATGGTCCTCTCAGAGGGAGTTCGAAGGGAAATTACCCATTAATAGTATTTATTCTAGGCCCTGGAACCAAGAACTTTCATCATTAGTAAAACCACTCTTTTAACCATGTTAATTATCCACAAGCATGTTGACTTAGAACTTCTATTATTAAACCTATACTAAATAAATGCAAGGAGGAACAAAGAGTCATGGTTGGTTAGCTACAATCACCCTCTAAAAACAGTTGACAACCATCCCAAGCCCACTCACATCACTGTACTGGATGTGAGAGTGTATTTCATTCATCCATTGCTAAGTCAGGGTCTATAAAACAAATCTCTGCATGTAGTAATCGAGGTCTCAACTAGTAACCCCAGCGTAACGCTCATCACAGCTGGCGCCTGAACAGAGACACTGACATGACTGACACCACAGCCAGTGCCCCACTGTGAGGAGACTTGACAACGTCATAGCAGGTGCCCAAACAGGGAGAAAACCTTTATGATCATTGCTGCAAAAAAGGAAAGCAGCGGACCCCTAGAAAACCAGAAGGAAGGAAACCATGCAGTCAAGTCAAGTAGTCAGTAAGTCATTGGTACCCACTGGAGGTTGCCAAGTTCGGGGAGGGATTGTTTCAGGCTAGGGATTCATCATGGGACAGCAGTTATCAGCACAACAGAAGCAGTACCAGGCCCAGCTGAAGGAATTAATGCAAACTGTTGTTTCCTAAAGCCCCTGGTTCCCAGCAGAGGGCTCACTAGATGTAAAGCTAGGGGAACAAGTGGGAAGAAATTATGCACAAAGACAACCAATGAATAGGAAAAAAGACAAAGGAGACACCACAGCTATAGGTCCTTGTCTTAAACAAGCAGCTTTGGAGGGTGAACTCTTAGCCTGCCTGGTAATTAAAAACGGCAAGGTAATCAAATACATGAACCCATTTCTTTTAGCACTTATAAAGAGCTAAGAAAACATATAAAGGAAAATGGAGCTGCTAGCCCATTTACGAAAGGAATGATTGAGGTTTTAGCACACAACTTCCGAATAACCCCATGAGATTGGTCAATGCTAGCTAAAACCACTTTGGGGCCCCACCAAGGCCTCCTCTGAAGAGCAAAGTACAAGTTGTGTGAACAACAAGCCAAAAGAAATCAGGCTGCAGGGCAAGATACAACAGCCGCTATGCTCCAGGGGAAGGGTCCCCATGCCGAGGTATCATAACAGCTAGATTTTGATCCCTAGGCCTATAATCAACTATCGTCATGTGCCCTCAGGGCCTAGGACTGAATTCTCCAAAGTGGACCTCAGCTCTTTTGTAAATGTTCATCAGGGGCCTCAGGAGTCATTTGTTGAATTTATTGATTAGTTAACCCAGGCAATTAAAAAGCAAATTAGTCATGACCAGGTCGTGGATATTTTATTGTTGCAATTGGCTTATAAAAACACTAATGTAGATTGCCAGCAAGCAATGTAGGCAGTCAGAGGAAAGGCAGCCACAATCGGGGAACTTATAAAAGCATGCCAGCTAGTAGAAACAGAGACATAGAAAGCCAAAATATTGGCTATGGTATTAAGGCCTCCTAGAATGAAAAGGGAGAGGAACTCTAATTGTTTTCTATGGGGAAAGCCAGTTATATGAAAAGAGACTGCCCAAAGAATAGAGACCAAGGTTAATCAAGGAAAGAATTTCCTTTTATATGTCCCCTATGTAGAAAGGGGAAGCATTAGGCAAATCAATACTATCTAAATTTAATAAAAACGGCAACCCCATAGGTAATCAAACAGGAAACTTCATCAGGGGCCAGCCTCAGGCCCCGCTTCAAACTAAGGCAATGCCAGCAGCTTTCCTCAGCCAAATGGAAAGCCCACGGTCCTCTCTTTCAAAGCAGCCACCACCAGGAGTGCAGAGCTAAACTTACTCTGCCCAAACAAATTAGTCTTAAAAGAAGGAGATGACCCCAAAAGAGTTGCTACAGGGAGGTCAGGAGTTTGAGACCAGCCTGGCCAATGTGGTAAAATCGCGTCTCCACTTAAAGTACAAAAATTAGCTGAACGTGGTGGTGTGTGCCTGTAGTCCCAGCTACTCAAAAGGCTGAGGCACGAGAATTGCTTGAACCCAGGAGGCAGAGGTTGCAGTGAGCTGAGATCACACCACTGCACTCTAGCCTGGGTGACAGAGCCAGACTCCATCTGAGGAAATAAAAAAGAAAAAGAAAAATGAGGGAAATGGAGAGAGAAATAGAGTCCAGAGGTATGAAGTGATATGCTATGTAATCCAGCGGCGAAGTGAGCATCAAAACTCCTGCCTTCCCATTCAGGGCTCTTTCTGCCACTGTACCGTTCTGCCTCTTGTCCCAAGGTAAGTGAGAGTGTTTTGCTCTTTCCTATGAAAAAAATGATGATACCCTCCAAAACCAAGCTCAAGGTGCTTTCCACATCCTAAGGAAGGCCAGGAGAATGTGGAAAGATCCATTCAAAACCATATCTCCTAATATCTGTTCTCAGGTGCTTAGCAGAATATACTCTCCCACTGCTGGTATTGCTTAATCCTGGTCTCACTGTGTTTCAGTAAGCAAGATTCTTAAAAGGGAAGATCTTTGTGAGAAAATTTCTCAAGCATTAAAAGATCATCACTTGTCATAACTCTCACATGACAAGCAACATTTTCTGTAAAATGCAGCAACTTCAGACAGAATCGCTGGATTGTACTTCATTCTGAGACTAGCTCTGACTTACAAGCTGGGAAACCAAGGCAGAGATTAATCACCACAGTCTCACAAGCCAACAGAGGCCCCATTTGCCAAAGCCTATGGCTCCTTCAGGAACCGGCTCCATTTCTGCATAGGACACCAAGGGCATGTTAGGTATTAGCAGGCATCATGATTTCACTTGCTAATGGTTAATTAGGGCTATTCCCGCATCACTGCCTTCCTTATGCACACATTTCCTAGAGTGCTTAACCTCCTTAACTCTGACCTATTCCTGTGGTAGCAGTACAATTAAACAACCACAAACAGTACTGACATCACTGCCTCACTGTCAGTAGGACCCAAATTTGAATCATCTTTGAAATAGAGGGACTGTTCTGGTTCATCTATTTTATTGAGGTTTGTCCTGAGCAAAAATCTGTATTTCCTGACACCTGGCCTGGATTATAATGGGATTGAGGGAGCTCTTCCAGAGTGAAGTGAACAAGCCCACTCAGACTTTGGCCCCAGTAGTTGGTCAGAATGGATGGGATCGCTGGGGACAGGGAGAACTTCCCAAAGAAATGTACATCCAGTGAAAGCACGCCTCAATCTATTCATTACCCAACGTGTTCATGTAGTACACACTTATTAAATGCCTAATGTGTCTCAAGCATTTTTCTAGATGCTGGGGATATAGCAGAGAATAAAACAAAGTCCTTAAGAGGACATGGTACTCTTGATTGGGGGAAGAGGAAGACATACAAATAAACAAATAACTGTAAAGTATGACAAATGGCGAAAAGTACAATAAAAAAGAAACATATGAAAGGTAAGGTGGGAAAGAGTGCTGAGGTGAGATAGGTTTGCTATTTTATTAAAGAGTGATCAGAGAAGGCCTCCCAAAGGAGGTGGCATTTTAGCAGAAATATGTTGAAGTGAGAGAATGAAAGAAGAGTAGTGGAGTTAGAGGCAATGGCAGATAGAAAGGTCCTGTGGCAGAAAAGCCTTGATGTCTTAGGGCAGTGGTCCTAAACTTTAGCATCAGAGTCCCCTGAAGGGCTTGATCAAACAGCTTGATGAGTCCCTACCCTTGAACTTCTGGCTCATTAAGTCTGGGGCGGAGCCTGAGAATGTTCATTCCTAACAAGTTTCCTGATGATGCCAATGCTGCTGGCTGGGGGACAACACATTGAAAACCACTTTTGTGGATGAGTAGCTGTGCAGTCAGGATGGCTGGAGAGCTCAAGTAGGATGGGGAAGAGTAGTCACAAATGAGGTCGGAGAAGCCGCTGGGGCAGATTGACTCACACTCTAATGTGCATTGAAACCACTATGGGTCTGTCAAAATGGTGATGCTAATTTGGTTGGTCTGGGGTGGATCCCCAAATGATGCATTTCTAAGAGAAAGTTCTTGAATGACACATGTCACTTTGGCTTGTGGACCACAGTTTGGGAATCAAGGCTCTAGGGCCTTTACTTTGTGTTGGAGAAGTCATGAGAAGGTTGGAGCAGAGAAATGACAATCTAAAGGATACTAAAAGGAGAGCTCCATGTTGTGCAGAATAGTCTGTAGGGAGCAAAGACAGAAAGGGAAGCACAGTTATGAGGCCCCTCAAAGGACCAAGACAGACATGAGGTGGCTGACCAAAGTGGGGGCGGTAAAAGTGCTGAAAAGTCTCAACTGTGATATGATTTAAAAGTAGATCCAGGTGGGGTAGGGTGGCTCACACTGGTAATACCAGCACTTTGGGAGGCCGAGGTGGGCAGATCACGAGGTCATGAGTTCAAGACTAGCCTAGCCAACATGGAGAAATCCCATCTCTACCAAAAATACAGAGGTTATCCTGGCATGGTAGTGGGACCTGTAATCCCAGCTATTAGGAAGACTGAGGCAGGAGAATCACTTGAACCTGGGAGGCGGAGATTGCAGTGAGCTAAGAGCACCACTGCACTCTAGCCTGGGCAACAGAGCAAGACTCCATCTGAGAAAAAAAAAAGTAATTCTGATCTAATAGCATTTTCTGACAGATTGTGCATAAGGCGTGTGAGAAAGACAAGGGTTAGGGGCAACTCTAAGATTCTGAGCCTAAAATTTAGAAGGAGTGAGTTGCATTTAGCAGGTCTTGGGGCGGAGGAAAAGAAACGTTAAGTCAACTTTGTGAGGTGAAAAGAAGATGGAGAAACGGTGGTAATTTTCTCCAAATGATTTTCCCAATAGATTATGGTGTTAGAATATGGCCATATGGCTAACCCAATCAATCTGGTGGCTTGGTCGAAATGGCTTAAAAGGGAAATATACATGGTGATGAGATTTCTTCACTGGGGTCAAGGTTCAGAGGTGGTGGTGGGCCTAAAGAATACAAAATGGCAAAGAAGTGAAGAATGAATTTTTATTAGATAAATAAGGATGATATTAGAAAAAACCCTAATTCTAATTCCAGCCCTGTTGTAAAATACAGCAGATTCTCTGAACTGTTTACACAATGACTGACTCTAAAGAGAGATATTTTCGTGCCTTGCTCTGAAGTCTTGGGACCCATTTCTGCTTTCACCCATTTACCTTCCTAAACTATTTCTACTCTGCCTATGCAGCCATTCTCCAGCTATTCCAATTAAATATCAACTAACTGGCTTGTCTGTGAGTGAGACAAAGCCAGAAACATTGACCATTAGGCATGAGTATTTTAGTTTTGTAGTCTTCAGGTGGCACTGAGCTATTAAGGTATGGGCTGCAAGATCTGGAAGGGAGCCCCATCACTGCCACCTAGGATCTTGAGCAAGTCACTATAATCATGAGAAGCCACCTGTCTCTTTCCAAAAAATGAAAACAGCACTTACCCCACAACAAGACTGGACAAATCAATATGCAATTGGATATAAAGGCTTTTTGTAAACTGAAGGTAAATGTGATCATGAATACCTCTGCTTCCACAAATCCTGACCAAAGACCCCAGGAATTCAGAGGCTTTTCTCTCATTCCAGAAGCAGGACAACAGAGAGAAAAGATAGATGATGACTCAGCTTCTTTCTCCTCTCAATAGTGAGTGAGACTGATGAATTTCTTCAATAAATATGTTATGAACAAGTATCTAAGTGGAGATTTCTTTACACTTACCTCTAAGTCTCAACCAAAGAGTTGTTAAGGAATATGATGGGTCAGCGGAGGGGTTGAGTTTTGTTTCCCCACTGAATATAACCAGAGGCTTATTCTTGTATTTTTCTTTAACAATCAGAATAATTATCTATTTGCTTTTTTTTCCAAATACAAATTTGAAAAATAAAATTTTTAAAAGAGAAACTTGTTATGTGTTTCTGGATCCATTGAGGTTTCCCTAGCTCTCCTGGAAAGTCTGGCCTAACTATCTTCTCTTTCCACGTTTTTATCTTTCAGAAAATGCAACTTCTCACAAAGCACCAATAAATATTTCTCCCCAAAAGAATCACAATACAGTATTATGAAGAAAAGTGGTTTTCAGTATTCCCATCATTGGGTTTTAAGTAATTTCAAGACTTTAATAATGCAAAAATTGAACTCACCTAAATTGATTTCTGAAATGTCCTTCTGTTCACCAAAATCTGCATCGTGTACTGATAAAAGTGAGAAAACAATTATTATTAGTCTTGCTAAATGAAAAAAGTTCAAAAACACTCTCTGTGCATTTGAGCTAATTCTTACCATTTTCTTTAGGAAGATAATTAATCTGCAAAAAATAAATATACAGAAAATGGGTAATGTATACTAGAATTAATATTTCTAAATATCCAAAAAACAGGACTCTACTTACCGATACAGCTGCTATGTGGGCAAAAAACAAGGTAAAAGAGAGAAAGCAAGTGGATCTAGTCCAAGCCATAGCTGCGATGAGCTGATTTTAGTAAAGACAGCTTGCCATAAATGCTGTTTAGACTTTACCCGGATTTGTCATATTAGAAACTTTGACCCTTCCATATGTACTGTACAGATTACAAAATGTAGTCAAAGATAACATCGTTGACTCTTTTGAGGACAGATAATAAGTTGACCTTAAATGCTTAGGCTCCAAAGACTGGGGAAAAGTTTGAAAAATTAATACTGAAATGAGCATATAAGAACTAATAACATTCCTATAGGGCATCCATAGTCATTCTTATAATATAACAGATAGAAAATCCTCTTAACAATAAAAATAATTTATAAAATGATTAAGTATTTAATTCTAATAAAATATAAATTCAAAAAAATTTTTTAAATTGTGCTTTAGGTTCTGGGGTACATGTGCGGATCATGCAGGATTGTTGCATAGGTACATATATGGCAAGGTTGTTTGCTGCCTTCATCCCCCCATCACCTATATCTAGTATTTCTCCCCTCATTATCCCTCCCCACCCTCCCCACCCCTGATGTCCCTCTCCTAGCCCCCACCTGCTGACCACAGTGAGTGATGCTCCCCTCCCTGTGTCCACGTGTTCTAATTGTTCAACACCTGCCTATGAGTGATAACATACTGTGTTTGGTTTTCTGTTCTGTGTCAGTTTGCTGAGAATGATGGTTTCCAGATTCATCCATGTCCCTGTGAAGGACACGAATTCATTTTTTATGGCTGTGTAGTATTCCATGGTTTATATGTGCCACATTTTCTTAATCCAGTCTATTGATGATGGACATTTGGGTTGGTTCCAGGTCTCCGCTATTGTAAACAGTGCCACAATGAACATATGTGTGCATGTGTCTCTATAACAAAACAATTTATAATTCTTTGGGTATATACCCAGTAATGGAATTGCTGGGTCAAATGGAATTTCTATTTCTAGGTCCTTGAGGAATTACCACAATGTCTTCCACAATGATTGAACTAATTTACACTCCCACCAACAGTGTAAAACTGTTCCTATTTCTCCACATCCTCTCCAGCATCTGTTGTCTCCAGATTTTTTAATGATCGCCATTCTAACTGGAGTGAGATGGTATCTCAATGTAGTTTTGACCTGCATTTCTCTAATGCCCAGTGATGATGAGCATTTTTTCATATGTTTTTTGGCTTCATGTATGTCTTCTTTTGTAAAGTATCTGTTCATATCCTTCGCCCACTTTTGAATGGGCTTGTTTTTCTCTTGTAAATCTGTTTCAGTTCTTTGTAAATTTTGGATATCAGCCCTTTGTCAGATGGGTAAACTGCAAAAATTTTTTCCCATTCTGTTGGTTGCTGATTCACTCTAATGACTGTTTCTTTTGCTGTGCAGAAGCTGTGGAGTTTGATTAGGTCTCATTTGTCTATTTTGGCTTTTGTTGTCAATGCTTTTGGTGTTTTGGTCATGAGGTCCTTGCCTATGCCTACGTCCTGAATGGTTTGCCTAGATTTTCTTCTATGGTTTTTATGGTGTTAGGTCTTATGTTTAAGTCTTTAATCCATCTGGAGTAATTTTAGTGTAAGGTATCATATGGGGTCCAGTTTCTGCTTTCTGCACATGGCTAGCCAGTTTTCCCAACACCATTTATTAAACAGGGAATCCTTTCCCCATTGCTTGTTTCTGTCAGGTTTGTCAAAGATCGGATGGTTGTAGATATGTTGTGTTGCCTCCAAGGCCTCTGTTCTGTTCCATTGGTCTATATCTCTGTTTTGGTACCAGTACCATGCTGTTTTGATTACTGCCAAAATTGAAAGAGCTAGAGAGGCAAGATCAAAAAAACTCAAAACCTAGCAGGAGATAAGAAATAACTAAGATCAGAGCAGAACTGAAGGAGATAGAGACACAAAAAACCCTTCAAAAAATCAATAAATCCAGGAGCTGGTTTTTTGAAAAGATCAACAAAATAGACAGACCACTAGCCAGATTAATAAAAAATAAAAGAGAATAATAAAATAGATGCAATAAAAAACGATAAAGGGGATATCACCACAGATTCCACAGATATTCAAACCATCATCAGAGATTATTACAAAAAATTCTATGCACATAAACTAGTAAATGGAAGAAATGGATAAATTCCTGGACACTTGCATCCTCCCAAGCCTAAACCAGGAAGAAGTCGAAACCCTGAATAGACCAATAACAAGGTCTGAAGTTGAGGCAGCAATTAAGAGCCTATCACCCAAAAAAAGCCCAGGTCCAGATGGATTCACAGCTGAATTCTACCAGACATACAAAGAGGAGCTGGTGCCTTTCCTTCTGAAACTATTCCAAATAATCCAAAAAGAGGGAATCCTTCCCAAATCATTTTATGAGACCAACATCATCCTGATACCAAAATCCAGCACAGACTCAGCAAGAAAAGAAAACTTCAGGCCATTATCCATGATGAACATAGATGCAAAAGTCTTCAAAAAATACTGACAAGCCGATTGCAACAGCACATCAAAAAGCTTATCCACCATGATCAAGCAGGCTTCATCCCAGGGATGCAAGGCTGGTTCAACATACGCAAATCTATAAACGTAATTCACCACATAAACAGAACCAAAGACAAAAACCACATGATTATCTCAATAGATGCAGAGAAGGCCTTTGACAAAATTCAACAGTCCTTTATGCTAAAAACCTCAATAAACTAGGTATTGACAGAACGTATCTCAAAATAATTAAAGCTATTTATGACAAACCAACAGCCAATATCATACTGAATGGGCAAAAACTGGAAGCATTACCTTTGAAATCTGGCACTAGACAAGGATGCCTGCTCTCACCACTCCTATTCAATATAGTACTGGAAGTTCTAGCCAGAGAATTCAGGCAAGAAAAAGAAATAAAGGGTATTGAAATAGGAAAGGAGGAAGTCAAATTGTCTCTATTTGCAGACGACATGATTGTATATCCAGAAGACCCCATCGTCTCAGCCCAAAATCTCCTGAAACTGATAAGCAACTTCAGCAAAGTCTCAGGATACAAAATCAATGTGCAAAAAATCACAAGCATTCCTATACACCAATAACAGACTTAAAGAGAGCCAAATCAAGAATGAACTGCCATTCACAATTGCTACAAAGAGAATAAAATACCTAGGAATACAACTAACAAGGGACATAAAGGACCTCTTCAAGGAGAACTACAAGCCACTTTTCAACGAAATAAGAGAGGACACAAACAGATGGAGAAACATTCCATGTTCATGGTTAGGAAGAATCAATATCATGAAAATGGCCATACTGCCCAAAGTAATTTACAGATTCAATGATATCCCCATCAAGCTACCAATGACCTTCTTCGCAGAACTGGAAAAAACCACCTTAAACTTCATATTGAACCAAAAGAGAGCCTGCATAGCCAAGTCAATTCTAAGCAAAAAGAATAAAGCAGGAGGCATCACACTACCAGACTTCAAACTATACTACAAGGCTACAGGATCTTCATTTTTAATAAAGACACTTGTGACTCTGATGCAGGTAGTCTGTGGAATATACTTCAATGAACAGAACACTGTGGAATTTGCATCAGTCCGATGCTTCTACTCTCATTGTGGTTATTAGATAGCTTTCCTCTGATTCCCTTTTTATAAGAAAATCGAAAGATCATAGAATCTCCAGCTTCCTAGTGGGGAATATATCAGATGTTAAGAATTAGAGAGATCATCAACACAGAAATCCACTTCAGGGGTTGTCTCCAGGAAACAACCCCTCTGGGGTGTGGTCTGAGGACCTGCACTTTTAACAAGTTTGTGGGTTATTTCTATACGGAAAATGTGAGACCTGGCGACCCTGTCAGGCAACTGTGTTTTGAAATGTGTACAAACACCAATACCAATGATTGGAGAGGCAAGGGGGACTTCTTACTTAGCTGGGCACTGAGGACCCTAATAAACTACTCTTTAGGGTCAATGGGTTTGGTTTCAGCATTTTCCCTTTTATGGAACCCAAAGAGCACATTGTTATCGTTCTCTCATGACATAAGGAAGAATCAGACGAGTAGTATACTTCGTTTTCCCAACTCTCTTTCTACTTATCGAACACTCATAAGCTGAAGTCAACTCAGCTGTGAGCTACAAGGTTGTCCCCTGATTTCAGGAAAAGTCTCCAGTCTCTGCTTATTACAGGGATTATCACTGCTCACGAGGCCTAGTTGGACTGTGAGTCTGGGAGAAAAAACTTAACATGTGGGAGTTGTGGAGTAAAGGGAAAACACAATTGAGTTGGACTTTTCTCTGAAAGGAAGCGTGATTCCTATGAAGAAGTGTTTTCTACTGCTTCTGAAATAAGGGTACAAGGAAACAAGCTTAAACAGCAAAAGGGACACTTGATTGTTAGCTATGAAGGCCTTCCTGGTCATCTGAGGATTCTTGGTTCCTAATATACTTTAAGGAGGGAGACAATGTTAGTCAAAGAAAATAGTGCCATAGCGGCAGGCTGGGTGTAACGCAGGCACGGACAGAAAAAACTCTTCAGAAGGGGTGGTATTGGAGAAAGAATGGGTGGGGCTTGGTTTGGGGATTTTCCTTGTTTGTCCTATAAATAATTCAGCTTTGAGGTCTTTTAATAGAAACAAGATGATAATAAGTTACACATGAAACTTGATCCAGACAGCGGGAGGTTTAGCCATTTAAGAAAATAAATAGCATTTGTAATCCTATTTCTCTTTGAAAATGGCAAAATTGTTTTTGGTATGGTGAACTCTTTTATGCAAGTGGACAACAGCTCTGTTTAGGGCCAATAGCAATATCTGCCACTTTAACAGGAATCTCAGTTGAAGTAACAAGGGGAAGGTGATGGGACACTTTTGGAAATTCTCAGAGTAATTGGTCAAAGTTGATAGACTGGAAGAGGAGGCTTCCTGAATTGGTAGCAGGTGAGACTATACTCATATTCCAAATCATATCTTAAAATATAAGTTTACCTTCTAATTGCCAATGGTGGGAGTAAGAAGACTGCAATGGTAGCCACTTTCTAAAACAATGTCACATATTACACTAATGAGGACAGCTTTGCACAAACATGCCAGCAAGAGTGTCAGTCACCGATGACCTGTGAGTAGATTCATTATATTTCTTTACATGCCAGGAAAAGAAGAAAGCTATTAATAGCTACACCTTGGTTTTTCAGTTGAATTTCTAGGAACAGGAATTTGCCAACCCCTTTCTAAGTTCCAAAGCTTGAATGGCATTGCTTCTTATTGAAATAATAGCAATTATTATAATACCCAGAGGAGTTATTAGGTGTTTATTATATGGCAGGCCCTGTGTAAAGTGTTTTGCATAAGCTATCTCATTTAATCCTCATTAATAATCATAAGATAAGAATTGTTTCTCTCAATTTATGAAAGACTGAGCTTAGTCTAATGCCCAGAACTGAAAAATGTCAAAATAGAGAAATTAGTTAACAATGTATTTCTTTTCATAGGCCAGTCTCCATTCTCAGTTGATTAGCTA